CTGGGTCTTCAAAGCCCGATTCCCCCTAGGCCCCCCAAATCACATTGGAAGATAAGCCAGTTATGGCTAATGATAGTGCCAACGATATTAATGTCGCCGTCGCCCTTAGTACCGCTCTGCTCCTTCTCGGCGATCTCGATCGCAACGCCGAGATGAGCGAGTATGAGAACTATACTCTAATGCTCCAGCACTCTGTTCAGGTAAGTCTCTTTATTTGGAAATTTTTCTTTCTTTCTCTTCATTTACATACTTACAATATTTCCTAATAACTTCTGTTTACTTCCAAGCCATCCTGCATGCTCATTCTTTTTCAGTACAATCTTTCCAGAACCCGGAGAAGTTGGCCGAGAAGAAGAGGGAGGTCTCCAGTCTGCAAAAGACTAACAAAAATCTGTAGTCAACGATGAAGACTTTGGAGGATTAGGCCGAGGCTGCCATCAAATCTCAAAACGATGCCGAGGAAAAGGCAGACTCTGCTAAGGCCATCAAGAAAGTGCTTGAGGCCGAAAAGAAGGATGCCGAGGAAAAAACGGCCCAGGCCCAAAAAGAATTGCAAGACGCTCTGGCCACAAAAGAGGCTGAAGTCAAGGCAGCCGATGAGAAGCGTTACAACGAAGGGGTGGCCGATGTCACGGCGGACTATGAAAAGCAAGTGAAGCAGGCATGCAACAAGGGTTTCACCCTTGGTTGGATGTCTCTTCTAAAAAAGCTTGAAGTCCTCGAGGACTCGTCCCTCAGGAACGCCGATGCCATTCCTCTTCCATTCCCTCCAACTCCAACTCAATCCGATGACGACTCTGAATCTGAGGAGGAGGTTTTGGTGAGGAAGTCAAAAGACGCTGCTGGGGCCAAGTCCCCTTCTCTAAATGAGCAAGTCCTGGACTTGACTCAAGATGAGGAAGTTGAGGAGGTTCCCAAAGATGCTACAGCTGAGAAGGCATCAGCCGACGTGACCCTTGCCGACAAGAGCCTTGACGAAACCCTTCAAGAAATTGACGCTGAGCTTGCAACTGAGAAGGCCGCCGAGATGTCTTCCCAGCAGTCCTCCGAGGTCCAAACCCAGCCTGCTAATGATGCTGAAAAGTCTTAATTTCATGTTTTTCTCTTTCTTCTGTGCTCTGTACTTTTGCTTTTCTTTTAAGACAGTGTAAGCTCTGGCCGATGTGTCAGCTTTTTAATATAACTCTCTTTTCTGAATGCTTGTATCTTTGTCTTCTCTGTATTGCTCTTGTGTTATTCCATACTTAGAATATTTTGTGTCTTTAAAATGCTCCTTAGTCTTGTGCAACCTTCTCAAGGTGAGACACCTCGGTAATATAAACTGATGATTTACCTAGGCAAGTACCCAAATACCTTTGTTAGCATAACCCTGGTTTCAGCTTGTAAATTTTTTCATAAAATTTCAACAAGTGTTTTACCTTAGTCTAACTTCAACCTGTAAACTTTTCTCAAGTTTCAACAAGTGTTAAACATTATCTCGGTTTAATTTCAACTTGTAAACTTTTCTCAAGTTTCAACAAGTGTTAAAACCATTTTTCTTCTCTCTGCCTCCTAATGTGAACCTAAGTTCCACTTGCGTTCTTACTATACCTGTATTCCAGAAACAACGTTACGTATCTTTATTAGTCACAAGTGTATAAACGAATAAATCAAGCTAAAACTTTATTTATTTATTTCGGCAAATGATGAAAGAGAAAAACTTTATTTATTTACTTCGGCAAACACCTCAATATTTGCTCTTAAAAAAAAACTTCCAACTCTTTTTCCTTTTCTTTAGCTAAGCCCGAGTCGAGAAGAAAGAAGCGTTCTTCATTCCCTTCTTTCATGAGGATTTTCTTCAGTGTTTCTTCATTCTTCTCGACTGGTTCCTTGCCGACATCCTCTAGGACCTCCACGTCCTTGCATTCGATGTCTGTCTTCTCTGGTTCTCAAATGCTGTAGGTGGATTTCATTGCTGCCATGGAGCAATTCTTTGCCTGCAGCTGATCTCCTCTGACCTCTTCAATCTCATGCCCTGTTGGGAACCACAATAGTTGATGCAATGTTGAGGGAACTGCCCCATTGTATGCAACCATGGCCTTCCCAAAATAATGTTGTAAGGGGAGGGTGTGTCAATTATGGTGAACTCTATTGTTATTTTCCCGGTGCCTGCCTGCACCTCTAAGCTGGTTGTTCCCAGTGGCCATGTCGGCGTTCCATTGAACCCGACCATTGCGCTATTGGATTGCTCCATATCGTCTGGGTGAAGGCCGAGCTCCTTGTAACATCGGACGTACATGATGTCACAAGAGCTGCCTTGGTCAATCAGGATGCGCTTTACTTGGCATTGGGCTATTGGATTGCTCCATATCGTCTGGGTGAAGGCCGAGCTCCTTGTAACATCAGACGTACATGATGTCACAAGAGCTGCCTTGGTCAATTAGGATGCGCTTTACTTGGCATTTTCCAACCTGGAGAGATACTACCAAGGCATCATTATGCGGATGCTGCACCATCTCAAGGTCGGCTTCAGAAGAGGACACTACTGGTCTTTGGCACTCCTCTGCTCAATGTCTCTTCTCTCTGACTTGGTAGACATGCTGCAAGTGCTTCACCTTTTGGGTCTCCCCTCTAATTTTGTTCTCGTTAACCTTCGAGTGAATTACATTAATTACCCGAGGTCCTCCTGCTTGAGGTTGCTGTACTGGGGGAGGTGGAGCTACTGTCACCTAAGGCAATCTTACCTGTTCTTCCCTTGTCCTGGCCTCATCGATAAGGTCTCTCAGATGGCCTTGGCTCACCAGGTCTTACAAGTGTGTTTTCAAGGCTCTACAACACTGAGTCATGTGCCCATCTTCATTGTGGTAAGCACAATGTCTGCCAAGGTTTCTTCCCATGAACTCTCCCAGTGCCCTTGCTGGCGTTCTGAAATAGGATTGATTCCGAATTTGGTCCAGGACTTTGTGAATTGGGATTCGGAACACAGTTGTCACTGCTTGTGTAGCCCTCAGTTCTGTCTTTTGCTTACTTGATCCGTTGTTACCTTGGCCTCGCTTCGGCTAGCCGTTTCCTTTTTCTTGCTTTGCCTCTTTAGTCCCCGATGTATCTTCCTCGGCACTGGCAAACTTCTCGATTCTCGCCATGAGCTCTTCCATACTTTTTGGCAATGTCTTTGCCAAAGATTTTCGTAGTGGACAGTCGTCTTTTAGGCCGTTCTTGAAGGATACGATTGCCACCTCTTGATTACATTCTGGTATTCGGTTGAACACCTCATAATACCTTTTTGCATAGACCCTAAGGCCTTCATCCTTGCTGATCTTTAGAGCCATCAATGCATCCACCCTCAATGGCTGTAGCTTGTTTGTCACAAACCTGGTCACAAACATCTTGGCCAGGCCTTCCCAGGTCTTCACACTTCCCTTCGGTAGTTTGTGAAACCAGTCTGATGCAATCTCCCCGAAGGATGAGGGGAACACTTTGCGAGCAACGGCTCGTTCCCACTATATAGTGCCATTGAGTTCAAGTATAATCCAACATGAAAGTTGGGGTCTGACTTGCCATCGTATATTTGGTACCTTGGAATACTAAATCTCTTCGGAGCCTCAAATTTGTCTAACTCCACTGAGAATGGTGTTCTCAGCTTTTCAGGGGAAGTTACCTCAGCATCGGCATTCTGCTGCTTCCTCTTGAGGTAATCTCTCAAGTCTTCTTTACTCCGCCCAGAAGCTCGGCTATCTCCTAACTTCAGTCTTTTCGGCATACTACTCTCAGCTTCATGGTGGGTCCTTTTCGATCTTTCTCTGTGAGTTGTGTCGAAGTAGAGCGCCTGCCCCTAAACATGCCGATGTTCTTTAGGGTCAGCCTCCTTGGCGCGATGTGTCCTCCGCGACTCTTCTCTCATCAACTCTCTTCGTCCGACCTCCCTTGAAGGTCGGTGAGAGTGTTTTTCACTCCCGATGTGCTGGGGGATTTCTGGGATTGGTTTCTGCCCTCCCTTCTGTGCATTGGCTGCTGGAATTGGCGTGCCCTGTAGTGGGAATGGTGGTTGCACGACATTGTTTTGCATCATAAAATTGACGACTGATTGCAGGTCTGCCAATTTGTTCGCCATCTCTTTTACTTCTTCGTCCCTTCAAAGGCATCTATCTTTCCACACTTGGAGGTCGTCGTCGTTATAATACCTGCTTTGTTCTGGTTTCTTTGGTACGCCATCGTCCTGGCCGACGTCTTTCTTGCTGTGATTCTGGTTCTGAGTCTCCTCGTTGCAACCGTCTTCCTCCAGGTTCAAGTCAACGTGCTTATCGTTCCCAATAGGGATTTCGTCCCCAATCTTTTCCTTCTGTCCGTCACTGGCCATCTATTCTTCTTTCTTTCCCACAGACGGTGCCAAATTGTGGGAGTGATTTTTCGATCACACTGCCAACTCAGTAATCAGTTGGAGAGAACTGGCAGAATAGATAACACCTGGCTGACCTGCAACAAAAAGAGAAGATTTCGGTTGTGGTTCGTCCACCTGGGGGCACTCCAACAATCAAGTCAGTATATCTCTCAAAAATAATCAATAGTGCTAAACTCACTGTTTAGAACATAAATTACGTAACTTAGACCCATCAGGGGTGCCTTTCTTTTATAGTTACCTCAATCCTAACCCCCATAGAAGCCTAGCTTCAATGGACTTCTGCTTAATGCTTATCCTGGACTCTCCAACAGATAAAAATAAACTCCCTAAGAGTGTTATCCTTATCCATGCTAAAGTCTTTCCTCATTCTAGGACTCCTTGTACCTTATCCGCTTATCTCGGATTCCGATATCTTCGGAGATAACCTCGGCCTAACCGAGATAACCTCGGCGTCATAACCTAGGCACGTGGCACCTCGGCTGACACGTCGGCGTCACCTTGGTCACGTGTTGGAATTCAGAAAATACATCCCCACAGCATAAAATCAAATTTCAATCAAAATTTTGAATCATCCACAACAAAATTTTGAGTCACCACTGCTCCTATCTTTTAAAAAAAAATCTCACCACAGCAAAGTTCATCTATTTCTTTCATTTTATCCAAAAGAAGTGACAATGCAAAGATAAAGAACGAACCAAAAAAAGAAAAAAAGAAAAAGAAAAGAAAAGTCAATCAAACTGACACGAGATCATCTATTTGCAAAGTCTCATCTCTTTGCATTCTCAACTGCACAATCATATCTTTCAAAAAATTTATCACATTGTGCAATTGAAATAGAACAAAGGGACAGAGATTTTGGGGACACAGTATTCGTGGCCCAATCTACCTATCTATCTCTGTGTGTTTCCAAATGCCCTTCGATGAAGAAGAGTTAGTTATTTTTACAATTTTCTGCTTTTGTTGCCGTCGCTTCCTATGGACACATTGTTCAGCACCGCTTTCCATTTTTAACATGTCAACTTTCACTATGTGATGATCTGAAGTCCCTTTCGATGAAAAAACCGAGTATGATCCAGGAACGAACTTGTATGGCGAGTCTGACGATGCCAATATATAATCTACCCGAGTTCCATACTTACATGTCCCTTGCACACCTGCATTAATATATATAACAGTTCAAGAAACTGTAAACAAAATCTACTTTGATTCATCAAATAAACAAAAAAAATTTAAGGTTTCATACTTTGGCCTTTGGCAATCATGACCACTGATTCACATTCCCCAGCAAAGTCCTTAGCATCTGCATATTGTTTGCTCTTCAAAAATCTGATCACATCGAGTTTTGGTGTTGGCTTTCCCATTTCTTCATAATACTGAAACCCCATATATCAATTTCATAGTAGAGTTAATGATTGATTATATTTGACGACTAATTTCATAATGTGTACGTGGAAATGTATTATATTATCTACCTTTACAATGTCTGTCCATCTTTCTGGCGAGTAATCTGTTTCGTCAAGAGAATTGAGGCCTCCAGCTAAAATATGTGGGCCGTCATTTGATTGGATTATTGCATTTATCTGCTTCATTCGCCAGTTCTCGTCTAGGTGATCCAAGTGGGTGCTATGAAAATTCACTTCTCCTACCCCGGGAACATCTATCGTGGCCTTCAGAACATTCCTGCATCCAATGCCGAATCATGAAGGAAATAAAATAACAGCACGAAAGCTAGTTCCCAAAGGATTTTTTTAGCAATATTAATGGTTTGTATTTTTGTATTTGATTTGTTCTTGAATTCCAGAATTTGAGCTTAAATTGATCATTTTTCTTTCTTGGATTTCTCAAAGGAGAGAGGGGAGAGAAAAAAAGAAAGAAAGAACACAGAAGGATTGATTAAAGCAATAGTAAATGATCTAAACATCTTTCTGGAAGAGGCAATTATTGATGATAGAACCACCTACTTCAAAAATTAAACTAGTTTTTCTTGGAAAGATAAAACATTAATACATGTCAAGCCTGTAACTTCAACTCAAAAAGTAATTTATTTTCCCGCAGAAGATGGGAACTGTGTTGACTGAGAGATATGCCCAAGCGATCCCAGACAACATGTGAGGAATTCAAGACTATGCAATTGTTTGACTTTGGCCTCATTAACATACACAAAAGAAAATCATTAGCCAGAGAAGATCAAAATCAGAAATTCTGGAAAACTGAGATTTGGGTTGTAGAAAGAAACAGAGTTCAGTGCTCAATTGCTCCAAATTGGCATAGCAATAGGCTCATAAATTGCCAAGAATGATAAAATTTACTCTGTAATATCAACTTGATTTGGTCAAAGGAATAGAGGGCAATTAATACAATACAAAATTACAGAGAAATTCCAATTAATGAAATAAACAAATTCCCACTTAAAAAGTCAGTGATTATAACTTTACTTATCGGATTGTTTGTACCCAAATATCTAAAAAATCTCCACTGATAGAAATCTCGAGCTATGAAAATTTCGAGACATGATACTATAACTGGGAGTGCATTGCAACAGAGAGATTTGAAGACAGAATCGCGATTGAGAAAAACAATTTGCAAAACAGAGAGAAACATAGGATTGAGGGGAAGAAAAAAAAAGCAAGAACCTGAAATCGGAGTCATCGAAAATCTTCTGAACATTCCACCTTTTAATTGGCCATTTGGACAATATAGCATTGCCGTATTCAGGAGCCCAACTGTCAGCAAACACGTAATTCATCCCCAAAGCATCAGCCAAATCAGACAAAGGCTTCATGGCTTTCTCTTCCTCTGCTTTCACATCTTGCAATCCCAATATATCAGCATCAAGTTCTCTCAACACTTCAACAATTGTCCTACTACTCCTAAAGCTCTGCCCATCTACACCATTACTAGCAATGTTTGAAGCCAACCTAAAAGAAGACCCCAATGGTTCTTTCCCTTTCATGGCTCTACTAATGGTATTGCTTGAAGAAGCTCCATTTTCATCCTCAACAAAGCTCAAATGCCCACTCCTCTTCAACGATATCTCATTATCGGGCAAATTGATCGAAACCCGCAACTTAGATTTCGCAAACTTTTGCTGTTTGGTAAGATTATCCGAATCATTCATGGAATTGGGATGCAGGGGAGATTGCTTTAGAATGCTTTTCGGGCGATCATTCGCCGATTTTGTTCTCAAATTGAAATCAATTGATTGATTAGCCTTGTTTTGATCTTCATTTCGATAGTCAAAGCTCGGAGAACTCTCAGTCTTTGGAACTGCAGGTGCCATGGAAAACAGGGCAGCATTAAACGTCGCTATACGTATCGGCTTTTTGGATTTGACACCATTTGATTGACAGTTTGGATGAACTGTCGCAGACCCATTTGTAATTGAGTCTTGAGGATGAGATTGGGAGGACTTTCCGAGCTTTTTGATGATGAGTTTGGATTTGGAGCGGCGGCGAATCGGCCACCGGAGAGTAAAACAGAGGCGCTTGAGCTTTTTGTTGAGGATGGTGAGCATTGCAGAGAATGGGAAATCTGTTAATTGCATGAATGAGAAGGTGAAGATGGAAAAGCTTCTCTGATTCTTCTCTGGTTTGACATGAATATTGTGTGTGAAGAAGAAGATTAGTTTAGTAGGGAGTAGTTTGGATTGGAGGGGAGAGAGAGAGAGAGATGGGGAATAGGAAGGAGTCTTCTAGGAAATGGGTTTGGAAACACTTGGCAGGCCGTAGGGGGATGAATGAGCTGTGACAGTGAGGACTGTTTTTACTTTTTTTACTCTCTCTCTCTCCCACCTCCTTCTTCAGCCTATTGATAAAAAGTCAATTTTTAAATTTTTTTAAGATAAATTATAAATATATTTCAAAATTTTAATTAAAATATAAATTATTCTTTATAATTTAAAAAATTATAAATACTCCTTTAAAGCAATAGTAAATGATCTAAACATCTTTCTGGAAGAGGCAATTATTGATGATAGAACCACCTACTTCAAAAATTAAACTAGTTTTTCTTGGAAAGATAAAACATTAATACATGTCAAGCCTGTAACTTCAACTCAAAAAGTAATTTATTTTCCCGCAGAAGATGGGAACTGTGTTGACTGAGAGATATGCCCAAGCGATCCCAGACAACATGTGAGGAATTCAAGACTATGCAATTGTTTGACTTTGGCCTCATTAACATACACAAAAGAAAATCATTAGCCAGAGAAGATCAAAATCAGAAATTCTGGAAAACTGAGATTTGGGTTGTAGAAAGAAACAGAGTTCAGTGCTCAATTGCTCCAAATTGGCATAGCAATAGGCTCATAAATTGCCAAGAATGATAAAATTTACTCTGTAATATCAACTTGATTTGGTCAAAGGAATAGAGGGCAATTAATACAATACAAAATTACAGAGAAATTCCAATTAATGAAATAAACAAATTCCCACTTAAAAAGTCAGTGATTATAACTTTACTTATCGGATTGTTTGTACCCAAATATCTAAAAAATCTCCACTGATAGAAATCTCGAGCTACGAAAATTTCGAGACATGATACTATAACTGGGAGTGCATTGCAACAGAGAGATTTGAAGACATTTCTTTTTGTGACTATTTTAACTCTAACCTACCCCAATCCATTTTTCCAAATGATGACAAAATTACATTAAAATTTTTATTATAGTATAAAATCTAATTTTGTTATGTTTCAAAATCGAGAATAAAATAGTATTTTTAACTACAATGCCATAAGATTTTATTAGTAAATCCATATTTTCCATGGAAATACTGTTCCGTTCATTAGAGGATATTCACAGTTCCATTATTTTTTTTTTCTTTTTCTAAACAAACATAAACTTTGTGATACCAACAAATCTCTTATTAAGAGTAAAGTTAAAAACATTAATTAGTGTATTAATTAACACACAAACTATATACAATATTAAAGGGGGATTTGGTGATAGACCCCTCACTCTCTAATTTGTCTTTCAAAAAGACAAGAATTATATACAGCTTGCTTGTTTTCATTTTTCAAAAAATTTTACTTTCTTATTTTTTGTGTTTTTTTTGTTTTTACTGAATTTTTTTAATATTTTAAGCAATTTTTTTACTTTTTAGACACACCTAACATAAATACACCTAAAAAGTAAAAAAATTGTAAAAAAAATCTTTTAAAAATTCACTAAATACCAAAAATATAAAAAAAAAATACAAGAATTCAATACATTTTTTGTATTTTTATGTATATATTAATTTTTTAAAATATTTTTTCACAAATTTTTTACTTTTTAGATAAATCTAACTAAAATGCATCTAAAAAAGTAAAAAAAATGTTTAAAATTTAAAAAATATTCACTAAAAACAAAAGAATACAAAAATAAAAAAACTCAATTTTCAAAAAACTTAATCCAAAAAACAAAAGAATATTTACTTTTTAGTCACATATCCATTTAATTTAATTTAATTTTTTTACTTTTTCTTAATTGATTTTGCTTAGGATATCTCTCAATATTATAATTAGATCTTGGGTGCTCCTAGGCCTAGTTCATTTCTCATCTCCTTTTCTTTATCATTTTTACGTGCAATTAAGTTTATCTAACTCTATTTCTTATCTCTCTATTAGATTAGATTGCAAATGCAAAAAAATATTAAAAACTTATTCAACATTACTTTTAAAAGCTACTTAAATTTAGTTTATATAATCAAAAAAAAATATTCTTAAATTCTTACCGAGTTTATTTACCTCAACATTACCCGAGCTCGTTATTAAATAGTTGGGGTGACATTTTGGTAAGTGGTGAACCCCAGTAAAAAACATTGTCCAACAAAATTATTTTTTTGGGTATTTCATTTTCATAGGAGTTAGTTTTAAGGACACGTCACTATCCATGCTCTATAATTATTAATTAATAAAATTTTGATGGGTTTCGGAAACAAGTTGACTATGCCATGCATGGTTACGATAAACTCAACCGTACCATCATAATTAAATTAAATTAATTTTTTTTATAAAAAATAAATATTTTAGTAATGAAGTGATGCAAGCATATAGTATTTATATTGAGATTAAACAAGCACTGAATGATGAAAGCTACTGAAAATTAAGTAACTTTTTCTACACGCCAACCACAATCTTTTAATTGTTAATTATTAATTTTATTTTTAAATTTTTTTCAATGGGACGTCATAAATCACGATGAATCAATGCAAAAAAAAAAACGTCAATATAAGCACAATTGCACAAAAATACGACCAACTAGTAAGTTGATACTTTATATTGTGTTTGAATTTTGAATTTATAAAAGTAACTCTTTCATTTTTATTCTCTGCGAATTCAAGATTTAAATACAATCTTAAACTTTGTTTGGATGATTAGATTAGCGAAGAGATTTGTAAAGAAAAAGAAAAAAAGTGAATGAAAGAATGAATGAATGAAGTAAAAAAACTTAATTTATTTCTATCATTTTCTTTCCATTTTTCTTTTTCTTGCAAAATCTAAACATAAAAATTAATCAAATTTTAGAGAGGCTTTAAGCAATCAAATATGACCACCAAGGTTTTAGTTGTGGCCCATGAAGCACGGACACCTCTCCGAGGGCTCCGTACCCGTGTCGGACACGTGTCGGACACGCGGTGGACACGTGTCGGACACGCACTAGAGAGTGTCCAATTTTTTTTTTATTTTTTCTGAAGCCGGACACGTCCAGGACACGTTATGGACACTTTCGGACACGCACGGGGCCAATTTCAGAATTTACAAAACATTTTTAGGGTCAATTTCAGAATTTACAAAATATTTTTAGGGTCAATCTGTAAAAAAGCAAAAAAAAATTTATTTGCCCTAAATCGATCAAAAGCCCTAATCGATCTAAAAGGTCAGTAGAGAACAAAAAGAGAAAGAGAGAAGGCGAAGAAACAGAGGAGGAAGAGAACCTGGGCTCGTCCGTCGCTCGTCATCGCTTGTCGCTGCTCGTCGCTCCTCGGCCGTCGCTCGTCGCTCGTAAGGTACGTCTTTTTCTTCCTTCCTCAGCTTCGGTCTTCTTCCTTCTTCTTTTGGTCTTCGCCAACCGATGTCTCTCTCTCTGTCTGTCTGTCGAGGTCTCCTCTCTCTCTCTCTCTGTCTGGTCTTCGTCCATCTTCTTCGACTTCGGTCTCTCTCTTTCTTTTTTTTCTATTTTCTTTTTATATTTTTTTTCCCTCTATTATTTCAGAATATATATATATATATATTTATTAATTAGTTAGTTTTAATAAATCTTTTTTCAGTATTTATTTCAAAAAATATATATATTTATTAATTAGTTTTGTTAATATGTAATATATATATATATAGTTATTTTATTAGTATTTATTTCAGTATTTATTAGTTTTGTTACAAATTTGTAATTCTGAAACAATGGCTACTGCGGGTGGTAGTTCTAATGATATGCCTGATGATTATTTTGATGAGAACAAACCATTGTGGAAGTATGTAACTAAATTAGCAAAACCTGGGGAAGGAGGAGGAAATTGCCAATTACAATGTAATTTTTGTAATAATACTTTCAAAGGTTCATATACAAGAGCAAGGGCACATCTATTAAAACTTCCAGGAAAGAGAATTGGTGGTTGTAAGAAAATTACAAGTCAAAAACTTTCACAATTGCAAAATGAGAATGATGCTGCTGAATTGAGAATTAAAAATGCTCATCCCAAAAATGTACCACTACCCCCTTCTAGTGTATCAATTGGTAGTAATTATGCTTATGAATCAAAGAAAAGGAGGACATGTGCAAGTGGGAGTGAGAGTGGGAGTGGAAGTGGAAGTGCGCCTGGGAGTGGGAGTGCTATTGAGAAAGCATTCAACATGAAGGATAGAGAGCAATTACATTTTGAAATTGCTAGGATGTTCTACTCAGGGGGGGTACCATTTAATCTTGCAAGAAATCCTTACTATGTTAGCTCTTACACATTTGCTGCAAACCATAATATTCCTGGATATTTGCCTCCCGGTTATAATTTGTTACGAACCACATTACTTCAAAAGGAGAGGGCAAATATTGATAGATTGTTGCAACCAATTAGGGGTACATGGAAGGAAAAAGGGGTGAGCATTGTTAGTGATGGTTGGAGTGATTCTCAAAGGAGGCCTTTGATTAATTTTATGGCGGTGAGTGAAAGTGGGCCTATGTTTATTAAGGCGGTTGATTGTTCTGGAGAAACTAAAGACAAATATTTTATTACAAATTTGATGAAAGAAGTGATTAATGAGGTTGGGGCTAGAAATGTTGTTCAAGTCATCACGGATAATGCTCCTAATTGTAAGGCAGCTGGACAACTCATTAAAGCTCAATTCTTTCATATTCTATGGACTCCTTGTGTAGTGCACACATTAAATCTAGCTTTGAAAAATATTTGTGCGGCAAAGAATATTGAGAGGAATGAGGTCACATATGAAGAGTGTAGTTGGATTAGTGATATTGCCGGAGATGGTTTGATGATTAAAAATTTTATCTCTAATCACTCAATGCGATTGGCTATGTACAATGAATTTGTGTCATTGAAGTTGCTATCGGTTGCCGAAACACGATTTGCCTCCACAATTGTGATGCTCAAGAGGTTGAAGCTTATAAAACATGGGCTTCAAGCAATGGTAATTAGTGACAAGTGGAATTGCTATAGAGATGTCAGGAAGGCAAAATTTGCAAAACAAAAGATTTTGGATGATGTGTGGTGGGACTACATTGATTATATTCTTTCCTTCACGGGTCCTATATATGACATGCTTAGGGCTTGTGATACGGACAAACCTTGCCTTCACTTAGTGTATGATATGTAGGACACAATGATAGAGAAAGTGAAGATGACAATATATAGGCATGAAGGGAAAAGAATAGATGAGGAATCTACATTTTACAATGTGGTGCATTAAATTCTCGTGGATCGTTGGAATAAAAACAATACTCCTCTCCATTGTATGGCACATTCATTGAATCCAAAGTAAGTATCACATTTAAATTTGTTTTAGATATTTCATTTTAATGGACTTATCTAGTCTTTCTTGAAATAATTATTTTTTCCTATTTTGTATTGTAGATATTATAGTGATGAGTGGCTCCATGAGGATCAAAATAGAGTTCCTCCACATAGGGATGAAGAGGTGACACGTGAGAGGAACAAGTGTTTTAAGAGGTATTTTGAAGATATCACAGAGCGAACCAAGGTGATAACTGAGTTTGGAAAATTTTCGGGTTATGTTGAAGCATTCTCGGAGTATGATTCTATTCATAATAGGTGGCACATGGACCCTTATACTTGGTGGTGTGCATATGGTGCATATGCACCATCTCTTCAAAAACTAGCTTTGAGATTACTTGTGCAACCCGCCTCTTCATCTTGTTGTGAGAGAAATTGGAGTACTTACTCCTTTATTCACTCAGTGAGAAGGAACAAAATGGTCCCTCAAAGAGCGGAGGACTTGGTGTTCATTCATAGCAATCTTCGTCTTTTATCAAGGAGGAGCTCCCAATACTTGCAAGGAGAGACAAAAATGTGGGACATTGCTGGAGATAATTTTGACTCACTTGATGATATTAGAATGCTTGGGATAGCTAACCTCTCACTTGATGAACCGGTTATGGAGGCGGTCCTATTTACAGATGAAGGAGAAGATGGAGGTGGTGGTGAAGAAGTTGTAATAGTTTCCTCTACTTAAATTCACATTTTCTGATATTTATGGATTTTGTAATAGATGATAGTTATTGGTACATTGGATAATTTTATATTTTGTGGTTTGATTTTCATGCACTTTGTAACAAATGATAGTTGGTAGCTTCAAATGACATGTTATGTATTGATGGAATGCAATTTTATGTTATTTCAATGTTTTTTTAATTATTTTTTAATAATTTTATGACATATAATAAATAAAATTAATTATATATATTGAACGTGTCCCCAACGTGTCGTGTCCCCCATTTTTTGAAAATTTACGTGTCGGTGTGTCCGTGTCGTGTCCATGTCGTGTCGCGTGTCCGTGTCCGTGCTTCATAGGTTGTGGCCTTTTGGCAAGCTATGATATAAATATGAGGATTAAAATAAAACACTAGCAACTAGCAAGGCATGAAGAAGTTGAGAAAAATGGTATCCTCGTAATAAAAAACTTGTTTTTATTATTATTATTTATTATGGATAGGTGGGGTATGATTGATTTATGTTTCGCTCTTAAATTTGTGAAAGAAAAAATAAATAAATAAACAATCTAAGCACAGCAACATTAGAGGTGTCTTAATTAAGCTAGCTTTGTGAAGGAACATGCCAAATCAAATGTTTGGGTTTATTTCTTAGGCCTATTTTTGGAAATTGATTTTCTTTTTTTCTTTTTTTTTGATTTATTAGCCTATTATGAAAAAACGTGAAAAAAAATAGAGAGATGATGTGATCCAAAATAAAAAGGTCTTAGAAACACTTTATTTATCTAAGCAAAATAAAAAAAGTCTATTTACTCATAAAATAATTTTAAATTTATAATGTAGGTTTAAACTTCTTGTTATGGGACCTTATTATGAATAATCTCGACTTTAAATTATATATTTTGAATAATTTTCTAGTTCTATTTTCTGAGTATGTAAACATGTATGCTATGTTTGTTTGGGCGGATTGTATTAGGTTGGATTAACATTCTCATGGCTAATAGTTCTAAGAGTACGAATCCTTTGAGATTGTGTATCATATCCTATGTTTGGATTGAGTTAGAATTATAAAGAGGGACTAACAGTTTAAATTTTGACTTAGGCCTCGTTTGGGAACAGGCTAATTTAGTAACTTTTTGGCTATTTGGCTAAAAAAGTAGGTAAAAAAAACTTATATGTTTGGGATGACTTTTTGGCTAATTACGAAAAGATGTGCAAAAAATAGAAAGAAAAGAGAATCTTTGACTTTTTGGTATGAGTTGTTGACTTTTTTGCTAAAAGGATAACTTTTTGGCTTTTTGGCTAAAAAGGTAAGTCCCCAAACGGGGCCTTAGTCTTTTAATTTATATCACACTCCCCCTGTGGAATTAAATAATCCATCATATGTGAAAAATCATATTCGGATGAATTGTTAATCTGTACTTCAATTATTTAATCAAACATTGAATTAATAATTTGATTAAACTATTAATTAAATTCTAAACCCATATCCATCCAAACAAACATGATCGTAGTGTGGAGCGGAAAAATGATGACTTTTCTCTCCTAAAAGTTGTCCCTCTTGTATGCTTGTGGCCGTTAGGGATTCTATCTCACTTTACCTGCATAACTCAACATACCATATGATTTTTTTTTTTTTTATTATTTTTTTTTTTTTGGGGGGGGGTCCAAATATAAGAACTTTAATAACTAATAAAAGGCATAAAAGTCCAGACAATACAAAACAAACATATCCTATCATCATATGATTAATATATATATATATATATAATAAAGGTATCACTATCACCTATCAACAGTGCCACTTAGATATCCTCATCTTTCCAAGGCCTGAACTGTGATTCACATGAGTTTCTTCCTACTTCTAAATAATTGAGTTATATATATTTAAATGAATATGGAAGAGAGATTTGAAGATTTCAATCAATTATAAAAAAACAAAAAAAAAACAAGGGTCTCTTGTTAGAGGTAGTTGACTATAAAGTTTCAGCTACCAGTTTGATGAATGTTGGTTTCAGGGAATCTCAATTATATATGATAAATATGGGGTGCTTGCCGTGCACCCAGCACACCATTTATTGTTGTGCGACCTTATGAGCTCATTTCTGATGAGTTGCAATCTGAACTTGCATTATTACATCATAATATATTTTCACTATATATAAATTTTAAATTTGTAAAGAAGAAAAAAATCAAGTGTGATGGAGATTGAATGAGTATGCCGTGAGATCTATGTATGAAATGAATATAAACTATATATAAATATTTCTAAACAAAATTTATGAATATGTAATATTATTGATCTAGGCCTCTCCCAAAAAAGAACACATTAATTGGCTAAAAGATTCACGAAGTCCCACCAAACAGTTGGTAATTGAGCCGTGGTTTTGATCACCATCCCTATACCCATTCCATGCCAAACCATGGATTTTAATGTTAGACAGGTGGGTCTTCAATTCAATGGTACAAAATAAAACTACTATAAATAAGGAATAATGGAAACATAATAAAAGTGGTTGATGGCTTACCATTCTCAAAATCACTATAAATGCAAAATAGGCCAATAAATCATCTATAATCTAGTTCATTATTAGTGACAGACTCATATGCTTTCATTAAATTCTCTGTTACACTCATTTAAAAAAATAAATAAAAAGAAATTGTGTAATGCAGATTCATTTTAAGTATGTATCCCATCAAATAAGACTTGAATATGCACCATATCTTATTTTTTCTTAATATTTTTTTGAGTTTAAATTATTAATCTCTAACATTACTTTTTAATCAAACTCTCTCAGTAAACCCCATTTAAAACAATAGACCTTACTATTTTAACCAATGAGAGAAATATTTTATTCACCCACCTTTCAAGTAGTTGAAAAAGGAAAAAAATACAAAAAATTAAGAATTAAACTAAAATAAAAATAAAAATAAGAGCATCTTAAAAAAGTGAGTCATGTCAATGGTGAATATTGTTAATACAGCAAAGGACAAAAGCTTTTATGTAATGGAGAGTGGAGACAAGGACAAGATTCATAATCTTTTATTCTTTTAACTTCAAGTATAACCCATTTTCTTCCACTTGAGTGGATTACTAATGTGCCCAAATAATCAAAAGTAAAAAGCCTTGTAAAGCCAACTCTAGAAAGTAATATGATAACCATATAGCTACATCCACATCATGATGCATTGGTAATAGCATGAATTCATTGTTAAACTCACAATTCCATTAGTGATCATAGAGATAACTTTCCAGCATCATGTATAAAGCTATTTTACATATTTGAAACTTGAACCAAATTCCTATACAGCAAAAAGATCATATGTTTCAACTCAAAACAAAGTCATATATTGGTAAATATGTTTCTAATAGATGGTGTAGTGTAATCTAGATATTAGAAAATGAGTCCAAAAATACAGAAAACTTACTCTTTAGGGCAAACAGAAAAGTTAATTTAGATTAGATATAAAGCTATCTGCATTATCCCAGTCGCGGATACAATAATTACTCTAGTTATCTCATTTTTGGCCAGGATGAGAGTAGCAAGTTTGGTCTACCTGTAAAGCTTTATGATGGGAAAAGAATGAAAACCTAGGTATGACAAAAAGTAAGAAAAAAAAAAAAAAAAAAAAAAAAAAAAAAAAAAAAAAAAAAAAGAAGAAGAATTCTTGGGATTGCTGCCAAGCGACTATATTAATAAAGGCGATTCAGTGTACAAATTTTTTTATTAACAGGGTAAAATATAAGCAGCATTGTCTTTATTCAGGTCATAAGATAGTGATCAAACATCATCCAAGTGATTAATAATATCGCAGCCCACACACTAACCCAATTTTATATTCACATTTAAATTTAAAGACTATCCCACGATCACTACCGCAAATAAAATTATATCTTCTACTTTCCATTGTAGTACTAATCACATTCAATCTTGTTTCAAACAAAATTTAAATAGAATTTGGCTTCATAAAACGACAGATCATTTTTTCCCCTTTTCTGCCTGCTTGTTTTGCTGGGTAATCATACTCCAAAAAGACAAACTATATTAAAATGCACAAAGCCTGAAGGGAAGCGTCTAAGAAGTATCAACAGGTAATATAGGCTAGATTTATAAGCTTCATTAAGAGAAAGACCAAGACTCCAGAGAAGTTTTGTGCCAAAATGGAACTAACAAAGCACACATTAATCTGCCTCTTGATGTAAAAGACCCCTCTTTTGTATAATTTACAGACATCAGGGACTAGCAAAACGCACCTTGATCCGCCTCTTGATCGGGGTCCTGCAAGAAGGACAATCATTCATCCCTTGTTTCTCATGGAGCTCATTGCAATTTACACAAAGAGCTTGATGTGCACAGGGGAGGAAAACCACCGATATCTCCTCTGTCAGGCACATCACACATTCCCGCTCCGCTCTTGCACTTCTACCTCCAAAATTGTCCCAAAAAACTGCCAACTTCTTAGTCACTTTACGAGCCTGGAAATCCTTGCACTCTGTCGAGTAGCTACCATGAATTCCATCTATGCCTCCTCTAAGTGCCGCTATTTTTGAAGCTTCAGACTCTAAAATCAATTCTGATATCTTGCATTCAAGCTTTTTAATGTCTTCCTTGTATTTCTGCAACTCATTTTCTGCCTTTTGTCTGATCACATCCTCCTCTGCTTTTGCTAGAGACTCAAGATGCTCTCTTTTCTTTCTTATAGAGCTGGCTTCAATTAGAAGTTTTTCCTTTACCTTTTCTTCCTGTTTATGTCGACCCTGAAATTTCCCTTCCCCCATTAAGTTACTAACATATGATAAAACCAGATCAAGAAATTTGTTCAACAAATTTAAGAAGGGAAAACCAGAGTGCATGTCAGATAGATGGTAAGGCTGAATTATGAATAGCATGCAATTGAATTGAACCATCATATATTACAGGTTCAATATGGGAATTACAGGAGTCAAAATTGGTTAATTTCCCCAATATGGTTCTCGGTGTTATTGCCCAAGTACAAAATAATATGCAGTATATGACAGTGAAAGGACCCTCACCTCAAAAACTAGCTTTTGGGGGTATAGTTCCCTGGACAGTGTAACATGATATCGGAACTTTGGTTGGAGGAGGTCTCAGGTTCAAGTCTCTCTATTTACATTTGGTCTCTGTTTGCATTATTTTCTCTCTAGATGTATAGAAATTTGCATCTCCACGTGTAAGACAGGGTTACATGTGAGGGCAACTTAAGAATTTGGGGTAAATTAGTGATCTAGCACTCAGATGGGTTGGTGGGTTGGTCCTATATTATCTAATCAAGAAAGGAAACCTTATTATACCATAGTTATGCAACATGTTGACACATAATGCATCATCATAGTCTGAGCATTAATCAGCAGACAGTGATGACTATTTCCCTTAGAAGAAGCATACCTCAATTTGGTTGTAGAGACCTTTAGCCTTTTCTAGCACGTGCTGAAGCACTGCCACCTGGTGTTTGTCAGTTGAAACCTCCTCTTGCAACAAACTCTTCTCTGCATCCCACGATTGAACTCTCTTCAATGCATCTTGCTCCCTCAACAATGCTTCCTGCAAATTTGCAGCTGATCCTATGGCTTGCAGTCCCGCAGCTTCCATTTCCTTCTTCAGGACAGAATTTTTCTCCTCAAGCCTACAGACGGTCGTGTTAGCAATCTCCACTTGGCTAGTAGCATTATCCAATGCACACACCATCTCAGACAGCCTCTTGACCGTGTTCTCTTCTAGGATGTGCTTCTCTTTTTCAAATTTTCCTGCTTCTTCTTTCTCTTGCCTCAATGCCTTCAACTCTGCCAGGTCCTTGCCGAGCCTCCGAGCAGCCTGCATAACCTTCTGATTGGCCCAATCTGTCCAACCATCGAGCTCTTTCTGCAGTATTTGCAGCCGAGGAACTAGCATCAGAATCAATTCATCCTTCTCATTTTGCGGAACATACTTTCCCAGACACTTATCGTATGGAATTCCAGCATAACAATCAAAAATCTTAGGAGAAGCAGGGACGCTAACTTGTGGTTTCAGAGTTGCGTTTTTTTCGGAATGTAATGTAGAATGAAGTTTGGCATTTGCAGCAGGTAATGCAGAAACAATATCATTTGAAGGCAACAGTGCAGGGTTATCCATTGGAGCTAAAGCAGATGGAGTGTTGTTCGAATGATGATGGGTTTTTTTTGCTACAAGCATGTTCACTCCAACTGCAATACTTGTCTTTGAGGAAGTAGTCTTGATATTTACACCCGATGAATCAGATGGAGACTTCACTTTCTTGTCCAAGACCAGACCACTCCAGGTAGAGAACTTTGCTCTGAGTGTTCCCTTAGACACATGACCTTTGCAATGTTTCTCTACATGAAATGACTTCAGCCGAAGCATGTCTCGCTTTGAATTAACCATGCACCCCTTTCTACTACTTCCCGATTTTTCATCAACGGCAGATAACTGGCACATACTCTGGACATATTCCTCAGTAATACCCAAGGATTTTCCTCCAGCATCAGAGACAGAAACCCGAGTTTCATTCACTGGAGTTGTAACTTCATGAACAAAGGGGCACATAGGGTCAGGTAAATTAAGAATCCCTCCAACTCTGTGCATTTCGGACCACAATTTTTGAGCATTGGACATTGAAGGTTTTGAGATATAAGTATTGATAGGGGTTGAAAGAACGGTTTCAGAAATTAGAGCTTCTGATTTCAGCTGCGCTGGTGTAGAATCGGATAGAGCATCTGATTTTTGCATCTGGGAAAGTGTAGAATCAGAGGAGCTTTCTCTGGGAATTTCTTTACCACCAAACACACTTAAAGAATCTCCTTCTACTGAACATGCATATGAAAGGTTCAAGTCACAAATCAACAAGAACCACATTGCTTCTGCGATAGTTAAAGAAGGCTTAACCTCCCTAAGCACACATATCATCTCCAACATTGTGTACTCCACTAAATTCTCTAAATCCTCAAATATACGATGGCTAGAAATATCATATTCGTTCTCTCTCTTCAGGAAAACCAAAGCACCATCAACGATATTTGACACGGGGTCCTTACTACCATAGTAAAGGCCACTCCTTAAAATGGCCCACTCAGAAACCTCTTCACTGTACCCATTGTTAGCGATCTTCTTAATTGCACTCTGGAAAGTTGCAGACAAATTAAGCGACAAAAGTTCCTCAAGCTGGTATGCGATAGGATCATCCCAATCATCGTGATGTAACTCTTCTACTCTGGACTTAGCCTCCAATGACCCAGGATCACTCTGTGTGTTTTGAAATTTCTCTGCTGATAATTCATATCTAGGGAATTCTGTGAGGGATGCAGAGACATCATTTGGGACATCGAGGGAAAATTCTGGTAAGTATTTTCTTTTATTCCTAGGCGCTTTTTCTTGGTTTGACACTGATGAGGAACCTTGGTTGCTACTGTCACTACTACCACCGTCAGCCATAACAATCAGTTTCCGGAAAACACAAATAAGCCCGGTTGATGCCCTTACTGCTCTGAATCACTATCTAGAAAACTGATGCAGTATCAAAATCAGTCCCACCGATTGCAAAACCATTGAAAATCAAAATTTAAAAATAAAAAAAAAGGAACAAAAATAGGAAGAATTACAAATTCATTAAATTACCCACTCCTAATCAATGCAAAATAATCCGAGCAAATGAATAGTGGACCATCACAAACAAGATTTTTTTTAAAAAATGGAATAAATAGAACCATACCTTTGATTTCTAATGGGGGCAAAATAGCCAAATATGCAGTTCCTGCAACAAACAAATTAATAAAAAATGAAACTACAAGAAATTCAAGATTAAAAAACAAATGACAATAACAATAAATTTAAGAAAAACATCACACAATACATATGCAACACAATAAAGCCCAAGAAAAACATCACACCAACAACCACAAAAACACAAAACGATCAAGAACAAACCTAAAACCAAAAACCCAAAAAACTAACAACACTTTTAATAAAGAAATAACGAAAGTTCATACGAAGGACAAACAAAAGAACCCCAATAGATAAAGAAACAAATATTTATTATTATTTTTTGCATACCCATGAATGGGTTGAAACGAACAAGTCGATAGCAATGGTTCATTCTATCAATGAAAATGCACTTACAAACGGGTGTGTAGATGAAGAATTTCAAAGGGTTGGGCTCCATTGTTGTGGTCTAGAAGATTGTAGCAACACTGCACTCGCTCTCCTGCTGTGCTTGCGCTCACTCTCGCAGTGTGTGGTTTTGGAATCGTTATATAGGGCCAGTGAACACGGCGGTGACCACTTCTGCCTAATTTTGGCTAATGGTTTAACCATGGTTAGTCTAGTGTGAACCGCATATATCGCGGTGCCCAACACAATCAAAAAATAAAATAGGGTTAATTATATTTTTTTTTATTCCTATAATTTTATTTAAGGGGACTTTTTTGATAAATTTATTTTTTAAGAATTTTATTCCATTTAATTCATATTCTTTTTGACTATTTCATTAGGTCCTATTTGAGATAAGAAGATCAAAATACCATTTTCATCTACTTATATTCCATTTATTTTACATTATTTTCTTATGTTTCAATAAGTCTTATGGGTGACATAATTACCAAAATACCCCTAATATGAATGTTCACACCGTCAATGTGAATATTCATATCGTCAATGTATAGGGACCCAGCCCATGTCGATCCTCGTGGGTGCCCGAAAAAATTTGAGTCGGACCGGGGCGGGCCCGGCTCATTGACAATGTGAATATTCACATTAATAGGAGTGTAAAATTGGCTCACGTCCCGTGGCGCGCGCGAAACCCGCCCGCGGCCCATGGATGGCCCGGGACGGGCCCGGTTCGGCCCGTTGACAATGTGAATATTCACATTGACATGTTAACATTTACATTGATAAAAGTATAAAATTGGCCCGCGGCCCATAGGCGGCCAAAAGCCCGCCTGCGACCCGGGGCGGGCCCGGTCCGGCTCTTTGACAATGTGAATATTCACATTCACATGTTAACATTCACATTGATAAAAGTGTAAAATTAGCCCGCGTCTCGTGTCTGCCCGAAACCCGCCCACGGCTCATGGGCGACCTGGGGTGGGCTCGACCCGGTCTATTGACAATGTGAATATTCACATTGACATGTTAACATTCACATTGATAAGAGTATAAAATTGGCCAACGGCCCCGGTCTATTGACAATGTGAATATTCACATTGACATGTTAACATTCACATTGATAAGAGTATAAAATTGGCCAACGGCCCAATGCGAGCCCGGCCCAGCCCGTTGACAATATAAATATTCACATTGACATGTTAACATTCACATTGATAGGAGTGTAAAATTAGCCCGTGCCTCGTGGCTGCCCGAAAATCGTCTACGGCCCAGGGCGGGCCTGGCCATTTTTTTTTTAATTCTTTTTAATTTGTTCTACCAAAATTTTATTATTTTTCACAAAAAAAGACACTAGGCCTCGGCGCGGGCCGGGCCTCAAACTGAACCTTGAATGGGCCTTAACCGAGCCGATGGGCGGGGCCGGGCTTCAAAGTGATGGGTCAGGCCCTAGCCTAGGGTCTCGGACTAGGCTCGAGCCTGGGCCCAAACGAGCCTTTTCCGGGCCGAGTCGAGCTGACCCACGGGCCAAAAAATTAGACCCAGGCCCTAACCCTAGCACAAGGGTATTCGGGCTTTGGACGGGCCGATGGATTGAGTCTCGGGTCGGGCCAGTGGGCCTGGGCCTAGCCTCGAGCTTAGGTCGGGCTTGGGCGGGCCTGGCCATTTTTTTTTTTAATTCTTTTTAGTTTTTTTTACCAAAATTTTATTATTTTTCACAAAAAAATACATTCCGCCTTGGGCGAGCTGGGCCTCGGACCGACCCTTGGATGGGCCTTAAGCAGGCTGATGGGTCGGGCCGGGCTTCAAAGTGATGACCTAGGCCCTAACCTAGGGTCTCGGACATGCTCAGGCCTGGACTGAAATGAGCCTGCCCCAGGCCATGGGCGGGCTTTTGGTAGCCCACGGGCCGCGGGCCAATTATACATTCCTATCAATGTGCATTTTAACACGTCAATGTGAATATTCACATTGTCAACGGGCCGGGCCGGGCCTACCTCGGGCCGCAGGCAAGCTTCAGGCAGCGGACAAATTTTACACTCCTATCAATGTTAATGTTAACATGTCAATGTGAATATTCACATTGTCACGGGTTGGGCCAAGCCCGCCTCGGGTTGCGGTCGAGCTTCGGGCCAATTTTACACTCTTATCAATGTGAATGTTAACATGTCAATGTGAATATTCACATTGTCACACGAGCCGGGTCGGGCCCGTCCCGGGCCGCCTATGGACCGTGGGCGGGTTTCGGGTAGCCACAAGGCGCGGACTAATTTTACACTCCTATCAATGTGAAAGTTAACATGTCAATGTGAATATTCACATTGTCAACGGGTCGGGCCGGGCAGGGCCTGTCCCGGGCCGCGGACCAATTTTATACTCTTATCAATGTGAATGTTAACATGTCAATGTGAATATTCACATTGTCAACGGGTCGGACCGGGCCCGCCCCGAGCCGCCCATTGGCCGTGGGCGGGTTTCACGCTGCCACGGGACGCGGGCCAATTTTACACTCCTATTAATGTGAATGTTAACATGTCAATGTGAATATTCGCATTATTAACGGGTCAGGCCCGCCCCGGCTCGCGGGCGGGTTTTGGACCGCCTACGGGCCAATTTTACATTCCTACTAATGTGAATTTTAAAATATGAATGTTCACATCATAAAATTGCCAACCGTTCAAAAAATATTTATAAGGGTATCAAAATTAAATATAAGGGCATAAGTGTCCAAGAAAATAGTGTAAATCAAGAAAAAGGTATGGAATAAAACTATACATACATTGGACTAAATGAGTTAAAAATTTCCTTTGTGGACTTCTTGGGTTAAAACATTTCTAAATGAGATTTATCAATAAAAATCCATTTTATTTTAGTCCTTCTAATTTTAAATTAAATAATTTACTCTTTACATTTTATGTGTTTGTAATTTATTTATTTTTTGTATTTAGTAATTTTAAGTCCTAAATTATTGTGTCCTAAGAATTATTAAAAATAGAAAAAGTATAAATAAAAAAAAAGATTTAGAAAAAAAGGGTAAAGTACACTTTATCCTTTATGTATGGTTATTTTTTTATTTTATTTGTTAAATATTTTTTTAAATTTACTTTCAAAATTAATTTATATTCAAAATTAGATAAAAATTGTGACATTATCTATCATATAATTTTAAAAATGTAATTATTATATTAGGATGTTAATTTAGGATTGTTTTGAGGAGAGGTTAAAATAACAAAAGTAAAAAATCAGGACAAATTATTAAATTATTTTCTCTATTTCTTTGCATTTCTTTTTTATAGAAAATAAAAAATTTATTAAAAAAGTCAACACTACCTTATGTGTGAGTTATATATAATAAAATATTTTTTTATTATTTAATTATTAATTTTTTATTTTTTGATTTAATTTCAAATATAAATTAATTTTATAAATAAATTGAGAATTTTTTTTTTACATAAAGTCAAAGTGTAAAAAAAAAGGATTAAAATAAAAAACTGACCAATCATAAAGTGTACTTATTAAAAATAATAGATAAATTATACTACTACCAGTTACCCAATGTACGAATCTTGTTCCGGAGGATCCACGGTCAAGCTTTATGTAACAAACGAGAGGGAGAACCAAGCAAGTTCAGTCACAAAAATGGCCCATAACCCTAAATCGTCCACTTCCAAGGTATGCGATCGAATACATTTTCTCTTCTCATATTGGGTTTCTAATATGAATTCACATCGCTTGTTTAATTCTACGTTTTTTTTTTTTTTTTTTTTTTTTTTTTTTAATTTTTTTTTTTTTTTTTTTCCCCCTAACGATGTAACTGGTTTGAAGAAAATTTATTTTTTATGCTTGCTTTCATTCTGTTTAAATTCTTCTTTATATCCTACAAATTTTGGAAGATTTTAAGTTTCTCTTTAGTTTATTGATTTTCTGTTTGGCTGGTCAGAAAGTTGGGAAAATTGCAAAAGAAACAAGAAGAATTTATAATTTTTGGTTTTTTAGTTTTTTCTTTTTTCTTTTTGTTTGGGTCCCGAGAAAACCATAATACTTTCTGTTTGTCTGATATTTAAGTGTTTCTTTAGTTCTTTAATTTTCTGTTTGGTTGCTCAGAAATTGTTGAGGAAAATACAAAGAAATGCCCCTTTTAATTTTGTTCTGTTGAAGAATATTTACTTTCTGGGACCTCATAACAAAGATTTTTTTTTTTTTTCTTTCTTTTATCAGTTTTCTTGGCCATTGTTTGATGTATTGTTTGTTAGATTGTAGCTTTCAAGGTGGAATTTGATGTGTTTCGAAGAGGGCATTTTGAAGTTGCAAGGAGGGCATTTTGAGCCAGACAACATATGGCTCAAAACGCCCTCTTTATATAGGTTAGTGTACACCTTGGATCCCATTTACATGAATGAGATTGAGAGACCTAGTCTTCATTCAACAATCAACTTTAAATTCCCACAGTGAAGCGAATGTGAAACAGTTTGTTATACAAAGGAGGAGCCTGAGTTTGGGTGGTGTTCAAATGGGTGGGTGCTAATTGCCACTGTACATATTGTACTTTATGCAAGTCGTGAATGCTTCATAACTAATTTGTTGCAAAATAAAATCCATCTTTCATGGTTAAGTGAATAAAGCAATTTGCTATTAGTGCATATGTTTATTTTTTTATTTACTGGTCATGTTATGATTCACCACCCTATTCTTACCTAAATATTTAAGAATATGAAACTGAGATATGTGGGAAATTCCTATGTATAGTAAAACCAACTTAAGGCTTCCAAACTTTTTTTTAAAAGAAGATTTTGTTGTTTAATAAGTTGCTCGTCATCTTTTCTTGACAGAAACGGCAACCTCAAAATGCCAAAGTCTCAGTATATGCTGCACAATGTGGGGAATGCTTTAAATGGAGAGAGATACCTACACAAGAAGAGTTTGAGGATATCAGAAGTAGATTCATAGAGGACCCATTTTTCTGCAACAAGAAAGCCAATGTTTCGTGTGATGACCCGGCTGATATTGAGTATGATGCCACTCGGATCTGGGCCATCGACAAGCCAAACCTCCCAAAGACCCCACCTGGTTTTCAAAGGGAGTTAGTGCTTCGAAGAGATTTCTCTAAGATGGATACCTATTATGTTACTCCTTCTGGAAGGAAAGAGAAAGCCCTATCTGGAATAGCATCTTTTCTTGAAGCAAATCCGGAATACAACGGTATATCTGTTTCAGACTTCAGCTTTACTACTCCAAAGCTGATGAGCGACACGATTCCGGACTATGTCGAAAGGAAGGTCTCAGGTAGTGGAAATAAAAAGATGAAAGCATTGAGGCAGGGAGATGATGATGTCTGAGAATTTTAGGGAGATATGAAGGGCTGTTTCTCGCTTTATGCCAACATTTTCTCAGTTTTCTGGTATTTAAAGTAAGAAATGAATTATCATGTAGTGAATTCTTGATCAGCAGTTCATGATCTCTTTTGTGAGGCAATTATTGATAATTGTTACATGTTTTGAAAATGCACTTTACGGTGTTATTTTTGGAAGCAATACTAATTTATTGTCTCTGGAGCTGAGTTTCCAATCATGTTGTTTTATCTATGCGAATTTGATCTCTTAGGTCTTTTATTTATTTATTTATTTTAATTCAGACAAGTCCAAACCCTATGGTTTGGTTTGATATTTTGAGGTGTGATTTGATTTCGATTATAAGTAGTCATGAAAATATTAATTACAAATCGATTTTCGGATTAAAGATCAGAAGAGTCGAAATTGATGTCTGATCCAAACTTTTATAATATTTATGTCAAAAGTGGTTTAGAGGTGCTTAATTGTTTTCGTGCACCCTCTTTTTGCTTCTTTTTTCTCTCTCAGTTGTTCCATCTTTGTGTTCATATCATTGTAGTATATGAATATATAATAGACATTTAGAAATTAACAAATAAAAAAGAGAACAGATGAGTAGAATATATTTATATTTTTTTAGATAATACATGAAGAGAGACAAAAGATAAAACACTGTAAAAAGAAAGACTAAATAAAAATAAAAATAAAAATAAAAAGGAAAAGAGAATATAAAGAAATGCATAAAAAAAAGGAGGGGGAAGTTAAAAACAAGAATAAAGGAAAAGAAAAGTTAAAGAAATAGAACAAAACAATGGCAGAGCAAAAAGAGATTTTTTAACATGTCAAGTTTTTAATCTTGGAACTATGGTTACAAGCCAAAGCAGAACTATTTGTCATAGATTTGGTCTGGTTCTGTTCCATAATTTCCGCGATTCATTTGGTTCTCAAGTTCCTGAACCCTAATCTATCTCAGAACCAGATCAAACTGAACTATGTACACCTTCTCTCTCTCTCCCCTATATTTCTTGGGCGTACCAAAATTGATTCTATGTGTTTCAATCTCTGCAAGTAGACGAACTGTTAAAGCTGCTAATAGAAGAGATGTACCATGATATAATTAGCATAAAAGAAACACGAACACTCTGATCTTGAATAATAAAATATTGGATTAACATCATCGTTACATGAAGCCGGTGGCTCAACTTGGCTGACTTGTCAGCTATTTTCATACATACATTGAAAAAAATTACAGGACAATGCAACCCACAACAAACAGGATGCTGCATATACCTTTATCTTGAACACTTTCCCAACAAACCAACCAAAATGTCCAAAACATCCCGTGCCTGAAAACTTGGTACACGTCTGAGCACTTTTTGAAGCCAAGAAGACGAAAGAATCAGTATCTGCTAGTATTATATTCACAGTAACTGGATGTTAATCATCCTATCATTGTCAGTTATTAACTCTGATGTTATAGCCCGTGGTAGTGCCTGAATTGCCGAATCTAGTCAGGTTTGGTATACTCAAGCAACATATGTGGCGACCGGTAAATTTTTATTAGTGTCCAGTAGAGGACCTCCTCAACTCCAAGCTCACCCTCTGCTCTTGCAGCATATATGTCCTCACAGATAGCAATCAACCTTCACAAAACCCAACAAACATGATTTTCACAAAACCTAAAACCCAGCATATATATCCTCGCAGGATCCTATGTGAGATCGATGAGAAAATCTCATGGATCGGATGTAGGATCGGATTGAGAACTCTAGGATTCTACTTTCTATTAAAAAAAAAAATAAAAAAAGTGGTAAAAAATACCAGTAAAATTGATGAATATTAAAAATAAGGTGAAAAATCACCAACCTAGCGATCCTCCCTACGATCCTACATGATCCTCCTACTTGCGATCCTGCTAGAATACTGATTTTACAATGATTTGGATTGTTTTTGCAATTTAGGATAGTAGGATCATATGATCATATGATTTGGATTGCAATTTTAACCATGACAGAAACATATTTATTAATGTTCGGGGTTTTGTGATGAAGGGAAGCAACTTCCCTTTTAGTCTAAACTTATTAAAACCTTGCAAATTGTTTACTATAGTTTTCTTTCTTGTCCTCTTCCACCCAAAAAAGAAAAAAGAAGGAAAAGAGAGCATTTTCTAAACTACTTTGTTGTGATAATAAATCATTATTCCAGAAAATAAGTAATTACAATTAAGGACCAGATAGTTTTTCCTATTACCTGTCACACGAAGGAAGGTTCTCATAAGGGATTCTCATTCGTAGATCGGAGCACTGAAGTCTGATGAACCGACCAACCGCAAGCACAAAGGTAATGTAGAGACCCCAAATGCTGAATTGGCTAAGAGTCTCCCCAATAATACCCTCTGAAACAGGTACAATAATAAGTAGCAACCCATTAGAAAATAATCACATCACCATACTATCAACATTTACATGGACAAAGTTTTCCTGAAACCTACGTGGCGTTTCCTCGGACACAATAATGGCCGTTGGTCCTTCCAAACCTTCACATTCACTTACATTCAGTGGGTTGATATCATGGAAGGCCCACCACTCAGGACTTCCACGGTGTATAACAAGATCTGCACTAACCAAATTTTCCTGTAACAAGTAATAGAGTGGGTTTTTAACTCGTGACTGACAATGGTCTAAAGCCATAAAATTGTTTTCATGACAGGTATCATTTATCTATAACCTCTGATAAGATGAACATCGCACTGGCCATGGCAGAACTATGAATTGATAAAGAACAAATAAAATGACAGTCATGCAACAGTCACGAGAGAGAAGAGGGGAGAGGGATTACTTGTCAATGATAGAAAAATAGATTAATAAAAGAAAAATTACAACATCATTCAGCACACAATTATAAAGAAAATAGGGGAAGGGGGAGGAGAGAAGGTTTTGTTAACGTCTTGGAAAGGTATTCAGATACTGAACTAACATACCTCTGGTTCAAAAAGTCTGACGTCACCAGAACCTGTAACCCGGAAGTATCTTGGGTAAATGTTAGCTATACTAAAGTTGTTGGTAGAACCTCTGAGAACTTCCTCAACTTCTGACTGATTTGAAATATTCGAAGGATCAACAGAATTTTCATATTTCACAAGTTCCTTGCCTTTTGGTCTGTCCCTCGAAAGTACCCAAGTAAATATGATATCCATGCTCCCGTTAATGGACTGGATAAATCTGTTAATAACCACATCGGGGACAAGCCACAAAATACTAGCATTGGGTTGGCAGCATATTACTTGGATATCACTCTTGTCATATATATCCAGATAACCATGAGGATCAAGATTAGCAACTGTTTTGAGCTTGTCCCATGAGATTCTTTCACACAAAGTTGTCCGGAACAAAGTCAGCCTTCCACCTGATGTCTTAATATCAAGCTGAAAGCTGGCATCCTTGATGGGATTTGCAATGTTTGTAGGGTTGCCACTGCTATACATCTGCAAAAAAAACAAAAACAAAAATAAAAGCCTTGTAAGTGCCCAACGATATCAGTGCATCATTTGCCTAAAGAGTGATAAGCGTGTATCCGTGCATTTATTTCCAAAGCTGATAGTTACGCTGAGGTTTTACAAACAATACTCGTACCATTGTCATTGGCTCCATATCTCTTCTCAATTGTTTAGTATGATTTATTCAAGTTCCACCTTTAAACAAAGTTACACACACGTAACTGCAAACACTCAGGGTCACAAAATTTATTTTCCAGCTTGTCACTTGGGTTAGAGCATTCTACAAGGAGGCTACAAATGCATTTCACATACACTTGTCAAGCTGTTTACATTTAGTCTAGAGAATGGCATGAAATATTATCAAAGACTATATGATATTGCCAGCACTAAAATTTTCTGCTTAAGTACTGTGTTCAAATTCTTTTATACGGAGTTCTCTATAGTCTATAGACTCTGGATCAGACCCAGTATTGTCTTTTATCTCAGAGACCCAATACTGTCTTTGAGATACATATACAAGTTGAGGGGTATAGTTTTCTTTTGTATACTTCTTATATAAATGGGTGGCATCCACTTTGTGCTCCATAATAAAATAAATTTTATATTAAAAAAAAAAATTGAAATTAACAGAATCAGATTCTGACATTTCTTACCAGCATAGGAGCCCAAATGATACAGATTAATATGAAGAACAAACATATTCCATTGCAGAATTTAGTCATTTTTGTCTGCTTCTCTCCTTGTTTATGGCTGGCTCTATTCAAGATGGTGTCGCATTTCACAAGGTACAAGCTTGCATTTATGTCTTCCAACTAAGTAGGCAGCCAAATATCAGTTTCACAAATAAGCACTCAAAACTTTTATGCTACAACAAATAACTGAAAACAGTTCAATAACACATTTTTAGATACGATGTTGCATGCTTAGCACATTAGCCACTTTTACGAAGAATGACATGTAATGATGGTAAATCATGATATCACAGCACAAGATCCACAATGAATTCTATTTACTATTAAAGTTCCCACTGAGATTTGCCACAAAATGCAGCAGTTATTAAGATTATCGCACTTCCATTATCATTATTCAAGATTAAAGCAGTACATGGGTTTGTAGGTCCAATTAACTTTAAACAAATTGAGAGTGGAGAAGATGGTGCTGCTTGAATACAAGTGGTGAGCCATTAAGCTTTATTCTGTTAGAGAGGTTGCAAATAAAAATGAGTGTATTACACTCCAAACAAATCATAACAACCTTGAAAGTGAAGTGTTGGTGCCAGAATGGAGAGAACTACTGAAGAAAGCAATTGAAGACGACGAATAAGGTAATGTATTATGGATTTCCATATAAAAGGAATAGCACTAGGTCAGACCTTAAGGAAGAAGTAAAAAACTATCCCAATTCTAGAATATAGCTCTTATTGCTTCAAAGTGGGAGTGGTTGTTGAAGATATAAAAAATAAAGTTATTTATCTCTCTATCGGCTTAAGCTTTGAGATGAGTTGGCATTAACAAATTAACATAGTATCAGAGTAACCAATAGCTCAAAGTGTTCGAAACTCATTGTGACGGGGTTCTTAAACGTATTTCTTTGGCTGAACATGGGCATCATTTGTATCATCAATCTACCGGATAATCTTATGTGATTCTTTTTCCATTATAATTCAATTTTACTTTCTCAACTTAACAATAGTAGAACAAGTCTTTAAAATAATGTCTATTTATTATATAGTTTTCAAAATCGAACCCATATAGTTTGGCCTCGGTGCTAGAAGCAAACATTGACAAGAACTCACCTTCAGCCAGTCATACATTGTCAAAGATGTTGTTGTGCAAGACCAATCAAGCACACATCGCAGTTCATAAAGGAATGGCAGAGCACGATAGAGTCGGTAGCCTATATAATTAACCCTTGAAACTTTGCTGGTCAGAAACTGCCGATACAAAGTGCTTTTATGCGGAACACCATATCTGATCTGTATGGCTTGCAGGGCCAGAGAAACCGATTTTGTTAGATATATAGCACGAAGTGCTAATCCTCCAGCTTCTTGGTGTGAAGGTTCCATATTCCAAGCATATTCTGTAATGGAATATGTAAAGAGGATGAGGTTGAAAAGATAGAAGATCACTTTTCCTGTGGCAAATGAGCAGAAGTAGATAATGCGATCAAGCACAATCAAGAAGAAGATGACCTGCATGAAGAAAGCATTACACAAATAGTGAATCGTTTTGCTAAAATAGTGACAAGTAGACCACCTAAAATAACCTAGACCATTCATGTAGTTTTTTATGCTTTTTGTCCTGAATTGTTTGAACAAATATGGTCCCCAAGTTGACTCGACAAATGTAGCTAAATTGCATTTTCACAATAATTAATGTTAGATTTAATCTTCAAGTAACAAAAATTATTGCACGAGATTACAAAAGAAAAGAAGGATACGGCTTACCATTAAAACAAATACAAACTCCTTCGGAAATTGATCTTCAAGCTGATATACCTCAAAAATTTCACTTTTGTTTTCTATGAGAGACTGGTAGAAAATGGCAACCAGAAAGAAAACAGCCAGATCTGCACAAAATATGTAGGCATACAGATCGAGTTCTCTTTTACCTCCTCCAATTACAGAGAGTATAGGATATGGAAATCCAACTTCTTCAATAATACCCACACGTTGTGCATGAAGAATCTCCTTTGCTACATCAGCTGCTGGAGTTAATGACTCATACCAATCTGCAACCTCAAAAATAGCCAAGGCCACATTTGAATTTTCTGTCCTTTCAATGCTTTGAACGTGAACCTTACTAGCAGAAAGGCAAATATTTGGGTTTTCTTCCTTACACCTCTCATCATGCACAATTCTAAGCACCTGATTTATTCCAGACTCAATCCTCTGTGGTTGAATCCCATCCTCTGGCCACACATGAACATCCAAAGACAATTGAACAAAGTAAGGAGGAGATTCTGCTCCTTGTGTTAGTGATTTCCAGTAGGTAGAGAAGCTCCTAACTATCATTTTCACCACGTTTGTTATTGGTTGCAGAAGCTTCCTTGCCCTCTCACTCCAGCTAGGACTCGAAAGCACCTTTTTCTGAAAGATAACTCTCGTTTTACAAATATCATAATCCCAGGAAATCCATTCACCATCTTTTGCTGTTATAGAGCTCTGTATGAGTGTAAACAAATACACTAGAAATAGAGGCAATGTGTTGATAACAAATGACGATGAGATTTTATTGGTAGGAAAGCCCAACTCATTAAGAAGGGTTGACTGGATTTCCAACCCACAGTGTTGGATGATGATTTGATACAGATACTGAAGCAAGATATACACTTCTGTATAGATTAACATAGTAACCCAGAAGATGTAACTTGGACCAGTATTTACACATAAAGCATACAAGAACAGAGCTGCAAGATATACCATAGACAGCAAACTGAAATTCCATAGGAAGACAAAAACAAAGCAACAATAACACACGACATCATTATTGGAGCGCATCTGGGACCATATGTGACGGAAGATAATTCCAATCTGCAGACTTGAAGCATCAGACATGGTTCTACTTTTATCTGACTGCAGAGAAGAAGAACGATCCAAAGGCGGTGTATGCCTCATATCCTGAGTCCCTGTTTCATCAGAAGAGTGCTCCATTGTATCAGAATCTTCATGCGAAATACTCAAAAAGCTCACAAGATTTGAAACTGCCTGATTTCCCAAGGACTGTACTTGGGAAACACCATCACCTAGGAGCTGTACCGCTGAAATTAATGGATTTTCTTTCAAATGGCCTTTAGCTTTATTTTCTTTGCCTAAATCAATAAACGCACCATCAGCAGCATCCTCTTCAATCTCAATGATCTCACAACGAGGTGATTGCACTAAATGATTTCTAGAATCCACTGCTGATGGACTCTCTGTCTTTATACTAGTAGGAGATTCATGCAATTCTAATGGAAATACCAAATCTGCATCTATATTGAGCTCCTGTTTCTTGACAAAATCTTCCTTTCTTTCACAGTTTCCAGCATCTTTATTTGAATAAAGAGAAGTACTCCTCCTCCTTCTTAAGCCTTCACTACTGGGAGAAATGCACCCAAAAGTAGCAGTAGAGTTCATACTATGAAGCTGGATTTGAAGGTTGAGCATCTCAGATTTCATCTTCTCCACTTGCAAGTTACGCTGGTGTTTCTTTTCCTCAGATTCACGAATATGCTGTAATTGAGCCTTCTTCCATGCAGCTTTCTTCTCTTGTTCGTGGACAATGGCACCAATTTGCTCTGCCTCTAGGTATCGGAACACATAATCAAACTCATGGGAAGAAAACATATATGACTGCAGTGATACGAGCATAAAAATAATGATCTCAACAAAAGCCGATCTCGAAGTAATCCGAAATCCATAGTCATATTTATAAAATCCAATCACCTCATAAATGTAATCAATCGTATCACACTTCCCAACATTGAAATCCCCCACAAAGGGAGATTGAAAGGCAAGAGAAAGAACAATAACAACAAAGTTGTACATGCGTAGGAACTTGAAGATTTTGTTCTTCTTCTTTAGTATTTGGAGTCTCATTCGAAAGAAAACTAGAGCAAAACCAAGATACCCAAGGTGCAGAATGTCATACTCAAGGGTACCAGTTATCAAAATCAGAGCAAGCACAAGATCCAACAGATGACAATAACAGTAAAGCCTGAGATAGTCAAGAAAAGTCCACATGCTTTTTGTCTCAAAAGATAGATCTCTCCAAACAAAAGTGTTCTTACGTTGAGACATCACTTGGCGATAGGTAAGTGACAATGAGAATCCAGAAATGTGATCGGCACGAAGTTTGAAACATGCAAACAAGAAGACCACAAAATAGCTAATAAGCATTCGAGGATCATCAACAATAAGTCCTACAAAAAGAAAGAGTACTTGAGCTTTATGTGGGTAGATAGAAAAATGCTTTTGAAGGAAAAAGAAAGAAGAAACAAAAACATAAGTTGGTTAGAGTGCTTCAAACAAGTAAAGATTCCTTTAAGTCAGGTAGCACGAGTTCAAGTTGAAATTGTGAAGATAACCAGTTCCCTTAAAATCAAACCACAACCCTGACATAGTTAAGAGAGTCGTACCCAGCCAACACTTTATGCAGTAATTGAAAAACAAGTTTGAACTTCTCCAGCAGTCATGGCAGTGCACATTAGTCTCGCTCAGACCATTTCGATTCAATGACACAACATTCTTCCAGAGAGCGAAGTACTCAAGGATGAGAACAGAGGCAAACAAAAAGACAAATATCGGCCAGAGTTTACGTATAATATGCCGATCCAAAAGAATGCAAGCAATAAGTAATGCAATAAATACCATGGAAACAGCATTCAACAACACAAAACTGGCAAGAAGCAATGCAATCATGTTTATCTCAAGGCCAAAGAGGTTAAACATATTCTCCATCCAAAACTTCAAATATATTTTTAAGGTAGTCATCTGTGTTTCAAATCTCTCATTTTTCAAGGCATGAATCCGCTTCTTGTTCCACTTATTGCTCTCCTTAGAGCTTCCCCAGATATACTCAAATGAATACTTTTTACTGCTACTACCCCGGGAGACTCTGGTATTAGATGACACATTGTGAGGTGATTGAGATGAATCACAATTCAAAGACGGCCATGAATTGCTTGCCACCCCCATTCTTTTTGCAGATAGTGCACTAGAATCTGTTGATGGCTTAATTTCCCCATTGGAAATGGAAATGAAGTTATCTTCTTCTGAGACAAACAATGGGCAAGGTTCTTCCCATCTTCCTGCATTTTGAAGGGTACTTGGCACCTTTTCCAACCAATAGAAGACATTGTACTGAAGGGTACATGCAGCAATCACCAGAACTTTTCCCCTCAAGCCTGCTTCTAGGCCCCAAAAGCCAGGCTTAAATACCCAGAAACCCAAAAAACAGGACCAATCATAGTGTTTCTGTCCAGGAAACATCTTAGCCTGTTTACCCCACATCTGAAATAGATATTCAGCCAAAACTAAAAATCCTGTGTAAACCAAGAATGATTTGGATGGGATTCGGGAAACTTTAGGTAAATTAGAACAGATAACAAGACCAAGAAGATACAAGAACCCAAATGCACTTATTGGAGATAAAGATGCATAGAATAATGTGAGAAACAAAATCTTTTGACTGTGCCAAATCAGAAGCCGCTTGATAAACCCAAGTACTCCACATTGCAATGGATCAGGATGATCTGATCTAATATACCTGTTTTTCCTCCGCTCATAGCTATAAAGTTGCATCACTATCATGATTGCTAAAGATTCCAAAACATTATCCAACAGTGAAGCTTCAGTATCATACCCCAAGTTAGAAAGATCTATCTTGCCAGACAGCCACATCTCAAAGCTAGGAAAAATACTCAAGCTATAGATGAAGATAAAAACCACAACTGCATAAGCTTTCAGTGGAAACCATAGGCGTTGTTTTGTCTTCTCAACAAGTTGTCTACCAGTGATCCAGAATAGGAGAAGGAAAATGTACCCAAATGACACATAATTTGGTCTCACTTGATATACCATGATAAGAATAGTCAAAAAAGCAATGTAGGTCCCAAATGACCGATACATGGATAAAAATTTCTGCCCTATAGCACTGAGGTACAGAGCTATCTTTCTCTCTGAAAGAACAAACAAAAGTCAGTACAGAACAACAACAACAACAATAATATGACAGCAAACAGTAAAAGTATTGGCAGCAGCATTCACTAGGCAATTGTCAAGGTATGCAGCTCACATGCAAGAGTTCCATTCTCTGTTGAACCTCCTATATTTCCATTAACTTTCATCTGGACAATTCACCATAATCTTCTAATACATTAAATAAATGCAATATATTAACTTCCAAGTCTTACTGGAAATCAATGAATGGCAAGACCACTCCTGAGTATCTTTGAACTCTGCATGAGAGCCACATTCCCAAGACATATTTCACAGAATCTATAATGCTTAAAATAGGGATTCAATGATGACATAAACATTCTGAGGTGAAAATCAGGAAAACAACCCTAATTTTTTTTTAGGTAACTGTTTACAAGCTGATATTAGAGACAAAGAGTTGTTTTAAAATACTCCATGAAACTTCGAATAAAGCAATACCATAAGAACTATCATTAGGACTGTCTCTGACAGTTGATGAGGCATAAACTGACAACAGAACTGATTTGTTCAAACCAGCTTTCAAGATGCTAAATCCAACTGGAAGGCAAGGGGCGTGCTGCACAATTGCAGAGAATGAAAATAGCAATTCAAAACCATGGTTATGAACCGCACATAAGCATGCAAGCAAAGCTATTTCCAAGAAATCCCAGGAACTCTCACTTTCAAGGAGACCTGTATCAATTCATGTAGAAGTTTTATTAATTAAATACTATCAACAAAACAAAAACAAAAATAAAACTGAGAAGTAAAATGTATATAGTTATACAAAATTTAAATTTCCCATGACAAAACAACTAAGAACCACAACAAAACGTACTCGAAGCAGTAATACATAAAAGTGTACCTAACTGAGATAGAATTTCCAAGCTCAAAGATCCTTTTTGCTCCAAAGATTTGGAGATAATACTAAGCTGAAGAATGTACAATATTGCAAAATGAGCCTCGCAAAGAAGAATCAGTGACTGCCGTATCCTCTTGCTGATGTTGTGGCTCAAAAGATATATAAAAAAGAATATAACTGAAGCACAGATCAAGATTTCAATTAGTTAATGGCTGTGGGATCACATGATATCATAAATTTCCTGCTCAATATCTTCATGTTATATTGATGGACAAAAACTATTATCCACGTTACATATGGAATGAATAAATAAATAAACAAATGAGTTTTTGGATAACTAAACATACTGTATATGGCATGGACAAAACCAGGTTTCATGGCAATGAGGAATATCAACACCAACTCAACAGCTCGAGAGCATTTGCGCAGTCCCCAAGCAATTGTAGCCACAATCAATACCTCGGTCTCTTCCTTCACTGCAATTATAAAGAATTTCAGAAGACAATCGCATGGATGGAAGTATGACGATAACATTCATACACGCTATTGCTAATAGCAGAAATGAATAAGATCAAAAGAAATGAATTGCAAATTTTAGGATAAAAAAACAAACCAGCACCAGAATGATATATATGAAGTAAAACTTAGCACCATGAAATAGCTTCAGAATAGTGGTTTACATTTTCTTATATGCATTTGACATAACATGGCCCTCTAGAAAGTGAATTCAAAATTGGATCATTTTGGCTATCTGAAAGTTAGGTGAAATACACAAGTACAAATCAAATAACCTACCAAAAAAGGAAACCAAAATATACAAACTTAAGCATATAGAGGACAAAGGAGTCACTCTATAAGTAAATGTAGCACTAAAAAATGGGAAAACAAAAATGAATAATGATATTTATTAGTTAACTTTAAAATATAGTGCCCAATTACCTTCAACAGTACAGTTGTCATTTGAAGATCGTCCATCCTCATCAGATAGGTACAGAAAAACAGAATTGCTCACAAGATTTCCCAGAGCCACCAGAATTCCTAGACAAAATTGTGCAAGCAGGAAAAATCCAGGAACGGGATAATGCCACAGCCCAACCATCTCCCAGATCTCCATGTCCTGCATATATATCCAAAAGAAGAACCATAAATTGCCCAGGTTTTATCAGAATATAACCTGGTAGACCTTCATGTCCAAACGGAGGACTACCTTCCCAAGTTTCCAATTCAGGAATGCAAACGCCACATTAAAGATGTATGTGCTAACAGCCCACAATAGGATGAAGCCAAGAAGCAGCCCATTCAACCGGTGCAACCAAAACAAGGATGGGAAGGCATATATGACATACCCAACATATGCAAGTAATCCAAATGCACAGATACTTGCAAAATGGAAACTCCAAAAGGAAAGAGCAAATAAGGAAACCTGTCAAATTCAAAACTGAAAGTTTTATTTATAAGACAAAAATAATGGAGAGACACATATGATAGTGAAAATTATAATTAGAATTATAGGCTTATAGTTAAGAAATAATTCTCAACTATCTAAACACAAACTTACACAGGAAAAAAAGCTTCCAAGATCATAAAGGAGATGATAGGCATATACCCCAATAATAACTACAACCAGAAAAGAAGTTAGGCCGGGTTTTAAAAAAAATGGGAAATTTTGTACTAAGAATAGGTCTATTTCCCTATAATAGAACAAATTACTGACTCTAAAATGAACTATAATATAACTTTCAAACTTCATGTTAAAAAAATTATCTCAAGTAAGGAATGGCCAAAATAAAATAAAGTTTTCAACTAGTCAAATATTAAACTTCACATATACCTAGAGCTACCTCATTCATTTTCCAAACACAATACATACACAATCTGAGAAAAGGAAGGCTGCAGTGGTTACTTGTGATAGAGGCCTTGGAAACAACAAAGATGTGGGAAGGTCTGGTTGAGGTTGCAATCATAGTGTTGATGATGGTATGGAAAAGGGGCACCGGAAATGGCACCAGCAATAATAATGGCAGCAGTAATAGTGAAGCGACTGGATTAGGATCTAGGGGCCGTGGTAATGTTGTGGAAGTAATAGCATTACTTTGCTTGGTAGTTGCAGATATTATAGTCATGATGGTGGTCCCAAAGCTGGTGACCATGGTGATGACAACAAAACAACAAGTGTTCGGAATAACATGGCATGGATTTGGGGTGGGTTGTAGATAAATTATTTATGAGGGCAAAGTGAAAACTCCATGGAGCTGTTGCAAACCCAAGTCAAGGTGTGACAGACTTGACTCACTTTGAGAAGCAAAAAAATCATCCACATCACACTTGACCAAAGTCCAAACCCATTCCCCGCAAAGTACAGGCACTAGAACAGTGTGCACTTATGAGTGCGAAAACAAAAAAGCACATTAATCTGATATTTTCTCTCAAATATGCAATATAACTACAAAATGAACTCTACAGATGGACTTGGTGGTTCATGTCCTATTAAATAACTTGTATGTATATCTCATACTGAATTACTTGTAACTATACTATGTGCTTCCAACACTGGTACTTCACACATTACAAAGAGCCTATGTAACATGGGTACTAATAGAGAGAACATGTTTTTCGGCAACATACTTGATAAGAGTTAAAGTGCAAATGTATGTCCAATTTCACAAGTAGGTTTTCATTATTACTTGGAAAAGATGCCATGCAAGGGTCGAGTCAATGTCCGGTGTCATGGTCATCAGACATGTCTTTCATTTGGTCAAATATAGCAGAGACAAATCAAACCGATGACTATATGCAGTTTAAGAATCTATACCGGGAAACCGTACGTGAAAAAATTGATGCTAAAGGTTCGAAACACTGATCCCCTTAGTAAAACGTTGGTATGCCTTACACCAGACCTGCAAATCATCAAATCAATTCAGCAAACTTGCAAGCAAGACACAGGATATTTTATTAACCAACAAGTTTCCAAACATTAAGCAGCAATTAGCTGGCAAACTAAATTGGCCTTGCAGATTGATATTTGAAATGGACTTAGGCTTGCACTCAATTCATACAAAATTGAAGCTTAAAGTCTATGAAGTATGGAGCTAGATAGAACAATCACAATAATTAGTCTGTAAGAGTCAAACACAACATCCTTGAATGAAATGGCCATAAGAAAAACCAAATGATAAGATCCCTAGGTCAATTACCTTGATTCTCGAATAAAAAAAGAATGCATTGATGGAAGAAGTTGCTCAGTCAAGCTGCCTTCTGTCGTAGACATAATAAAACTCATTTCCTCCAAATCATGTTTAATGCAAGATAGCTGCATATAATCATGTAAACGAAAAAAATAAATAATAAATTTAAAAAATGCCTAATCAAATTTCCAGAAGATAAAAACAAACACAAATGAAGCTTTTTCATTATTATTTTTTGTTAGGAAAAAAAAATGCTTAAACCAAGCAAAACATAGTGTTTAACACGTACACAAGAACCAAGTACTTACATCTATTGGAGTTAACCAGCTGATCTATGTAAAACTCAAAGGCTAAGAAGCATTCATATATATGACATCTAATAAATATATAAATTATAATTTTTTAGTGTGTCCCCACATGTCATGCCCTATAATTTTTTTAAATTGTCATGTTGGTGTATCCGTGTCGTGTCATGCCACATGTCCGAGTCCATGCTTCTTAGCTCAAAGGCAAATGTTTTAAAGTCTACATTTAGTAGCCAATCAAAAAAAAGTTTATTATATGTAGTGATGATGCATTATTCCCATTGTAGGTAATTATTTGATCTTGAACACTAATCTTAATTTCTGAAACCAAATCTCGTAAATTTAATACACACAACTAATGAAAGCAAATCCACCTTCCTCCTATGAAGGAAGTGGCTCCGTAAAAATATCTCATTTTTTCTTGGATCATAGATGGCCTAAATTAATTGCAAACACAAGGCTAGGTTCCACAAGAATTTCAATTCCTGAAGAGAAGGGTGCAAACTAGGTAGACCAGAAGGGAGTGGGGACATGGTAGGGGAGTAATTTTGGCCCAGCCCGGCCTACTATCCGGCCGTGCGGGCTCTTGCCGAAATTCGGGCTGGGCTCACGTGGCAAAAAAACTAGGCTCAAGCCCAAATCCACTCAAAATAGGACCACAGGTCTAGGCTTGGGCAAGGATCTGGCAGGCCTCTATTTTTTATTTTCCTTTTTTTTTTGCCAAAAATAATTGATAGATATGTTATATAGATAAATTATTTATGAGGGACAAAAAACAAAAGAAAAATTGTACTAAAGTATTTTTGTTATGATTAATGAGATGTTTGGTTATATTTCATGTGATGTTTAGTTATAACTTATGTTTTTTTTTAGTTATGACAAAAAAAGTATGAAGATATGTAATTTTCCTTTTTTGTCATGGCATTATTTTAATTATGATTCATGAAAGCTATTTGGTTATGCCCCGTTTGGTGTTTAGTTATGATTAAGTATCAAATTATGTCATTTTTTACTTTAGTTACGACTAATTTTCTTATTAAGTTATGACGTTATTTTAGTTATGATTAATGAGATATTTTGTTATGTTATGTTTTGTAGTTATGACTCAAAAACTATGAAATTATGTCATTTTCTTATTTAATTATGAGGTGCGTACATAGTCTTTCCCAGAAAAAATCAAATGAAATGAATAATTTTATATTTATCAAAATGGGAAAAAAAAATTCTGGCCTATCGGGCCAGGCTCACAGGCTTCAAAGCAGACGGCCCAAACCCAGGGTCTCGGGCCTGGGTGGGCTGCGGACCGGTGGGCCAAATTTACACCCCTAGGGATGGGAATGTGAGTTGCAGATTAGAAGGTTGCAACTGTATGATTAGAAGTTCTCGCAGCACATGAAAATTCCAACAACCCACATTCCCATCCCAATTCAGGTTTATGCCAGAAGAACACTTGACTTGTCTTATAACCACTGAGGAGCAACAATGACATACTTGCCTGGACAAATATAGAAGATCTTTCGATTGGTATTTCAATTCAACAAATTGAATGAGCAACTAAATCCAAAAAGACACTTGTATTCTTATAAGAGGTTAAACCCTAGTAGACTTGCAGAACCTAACTTCGAAAAATGAAAATTAATCATTTCACTTCTCTAAAATCTATGCTCCCATCTGGAGCTAAATGGGAAGTACAAGAGTTGAATAAGCATATGCATACCATGAAGTAGAACACAGTAAGAGAAAGACCCGAACAAATTTCCGGCCACTCAGATTTAGCAGATATTTTGTACAGACCAGTAAATTGAGCAATTCTTTGTAATATCTCTGGGAGACTCATAGGGAGCTGATACACATAAAGCAGGGAAATGTTGAAGCCCCCATACAGCCAAAGAGGCCTCCACCACCTTCAAAACCAGAGTCAAATTTAAGCTACTGAAGGAACTTTAATCACTTGGAGCAAAGAATAAGAGTCACAAAGCAATTACCTGAAAAGGCCAAGAAAATTGCTTGTCAAAGACCAATCCACAAGACCAACACAGCTACCGATAAAAAATGGTAGGGAAACCCACGTGGGCTTGCTAATTCCCACAAGAAGTTGAATGGCAGGCAACAGCAAGCAGGAAGCCACCCTAAGATGAGAACCTTCCATGTGGAAAAACAGGAAAAAATATTTGTATTTATGATATTGCAATTTAAAAAAGAATGTTCTTAGTTCAGCAATTGGTATGGAAGCTTCACTATCTATCCCCAACTTTAGACACTGAGACATAGAATGGGACTAGCAACAAGTGACTACAAAAGTTGATACATTTTTTTTGTCCGAAGAAAAAAGTAAAAAGAACAAAAAAAAAAAAAAAAAGGAGGAAACCGTAGCATCCAGCAGAAAGGGTGGAGAAAGGGAAGCATAATGATAGACATATATAAAGTGTTACAACGTGCATCATGAGCCTATTGTCAAGGCTCCCACCACTGAGACAAGCCACTTGCTCAAAAGTAAAGTCCTTTTTTGATCAATGATGTCCTATTTATTAGTCTTGAAATTGAAATACCCACTTCTAATTTGTCTGGTAGCATACTACACACAATGATCCTATTCTGTTAGGTAGCATGAAATGAGACACACCGTGCGCATATCTTTTTTTTTTTTTTTTTTATCAGCAACAAACAAACAAATTTATTAAGGCACAAGGCCAAGAAAAAAGAGGATAAGGCATCCCATACAAGGAAGACAGAAAACAAAAACCAAAACTTAACAAAAGAAAATACAAAAAGGTGAAACAAACTAAAACTACACAGTACAAACTGACACCCAGTCTGCCGCAATAAAAAAAAGCGGAATCCCTCGGAATATCGAGCTCGCTGAGGTCCAAAAAGACGCCAAATATCTCGCCCTATCCCATAAATAGTCTATATCCCGGACAACTCCTTCAAAAACACGCGCATTTCTTTCCATCCAAGCGACCCAAAAGATTGCAGAGATGACTCCACTCCAAAGCACCTTAGCCCTCTTTGACCTTCCAAAAGTTTGAAAATCAAATAATAGCATTTGAGCACATCCTTTTGGGGCCACCCACACCACATTACCCAAACCAAACACCATATGCCACAACTGCCTAGCCACCGAGCAGTGCAAAAAGAGATGATCCAGAGACTCTCCACTCTTACAACACATAATACACCATTGAGGATTAAGATATCGCAAGGGTCTCCTCCTTTGCAATGAATCATTTGTCAAAGTGCCCCCATGAACCAAGATCCACATGAACACTTTCACCTTAAGAGGAGCACATGCCTTCCAAATCTTTTTATGAAATAGAAACTGAGGTACATGAGATGAATCAATAATTTTATCAAGAAAAGATTTACAAGTAAAAGAACCCGAAGAATGGATATTCCAAACCAACCTATCCTCCAATAATGGAACCAAAGAAACATTTTCAAGTCTTGACAAAAGAGATACCAATTCCGGAACTTCCCTATCATGAAGATTCCGGCGGAAATTAAAATTCCAAGAAAAAGGAGCCACCAAAGAACCCGCCACAGACACAACAGAAACATAATGAGACTGAGAAACGCTATACAATAGTGGATAGATCTCCGCCAAAGACGAGGAACCCACCCAAACATCCTCCCAAAAATTGACCTTTTCCCCATTACCCACCCTCACAGAAATGAATTGGGACCAAACGGGATAAATCTGGGAAATGGACTTCCAAGGAGCACGCCCGCTACCTCTCGAGACCACCTGAATCCCATATTAACCTAAGAATCCCTACCGTGCGCATATCTTATTATGATCAATAACAAGCAATAAAACACATAGAAACTCTACTATTATCAATAACATGCAATAAAACACAGAAACTCTACCTTATTTGGTCACATGTAACAGAGACCCAAAATAAAAATGCATTTGGGATATACCTTATTTGGTCCGCTCATCTCGTTGCACTCATTTTCCTGCCCGCACTCCAGCTAATTTTCCCCCTACAGCTAAAGGAGGGCCTCTTAGAAACAAGGGAGTCCATGTCCTTAAGCAACACTGCTCTATCTTAAATAGATCTTCTCTCCTAGTTGACTGCAAAACTACACGCAACAGCAGCAACTTTTCCCAACTAGCACCCCTCAACCTTGGGATCCCACTACAGCTGTCCTGTGACTTCTTTACTTTATTTATGTCCATTTTTTAAGACACTTTATGCAACTTGTGACCCTATAGCTCATCCTTGAAACACTTCACAGCACTTTACCCTTTCAAAGGATTTCCCTAAATTCCCACCACCTCCAACCTTTCTTAAGGTTTGAGGATTAAAAAAAAAAAAGATAGTCAAACGCTTAACAATTTTTTTATTGAAATGTGAAACAATTGTAGCTTGGTAAAAAGATATATAAGAATAAACAAGGAATAAGAATAAACAACTTCACAAAAACTAAACTTACAGTTAACCAGTCACAAACCTAGATGTCCAATAACTGATGAGAGATGTCCCCAACATGAATCTTGACATGGAACCAAACCAAAATTGTGCCCCCGGATTTCAACAGAAGCAACAAAAGCCACTAAGAGTTGTACAACCAAGAAATAGATCACTAACGGAGAACTCCAGGAGTCAAGCCTGCTTAAGCATACAATATAGACATGCAAAAGGGATAGAGTAACCATAGATGCTAGGTAAAATAAAAAAATAAAGAATGAGATACAAGGGAAAATGAGCTCTTACTTCATCAACCCAATGAGCTTTGCCCACCAAGCATCGGCTATACTCCACTTAACATTCACCATAGCCCATAAAATAATAAATATTACTTGCACAAGAATAATAAGTAGTGAAAATAAGAAAACAGACCACAATAACAGAAGTCTCCCTCATCCTTTTGGGGCCACCCACACCACATTACCCAAACCAAACACCACACCATATGCCACGACTGCCTAGCCACCGAGCAGTGCAAAAAGAGATGATCCAGAGACTCTCCACTCTTACAACACATAATGCACCATTGAGGATTAAGATATCACAAGGGTCTCCTCCTTTGCAATGAATCATTTGTCAAAGTGCCCCCATAAACCAAGATCCACATGAACACTTTCACCTTAAGAGGAGCACATGCCTTCCAAATCTTTTATGAAATAGAAACTGAGGTACATGAGATGAATCAATAATTTTATCAAGAAAAGATTTACAAGTAAAAGAACCCAAAGAATGGATATTTCAAACCAACCTATCCTCCAATAATGGAACCAAAGAAACATTTTCAAGTCTTGACAAAAGAGATACCAATTCCGGAACTTCCCTATCATAAAGATTCCGGCGGAAATTAAAATTCCAAGAAAAAGGAGCCACCAAAGAACCCGCCACAGACACAACAGAAACATAATGAGACTGAGAAACACTATACAATAGTGGATAGATCTCCGCCAAAGACGAGGAACCCACCCAAACATCCTCCCAGAAATTGACCTTTTCCCCATTACCCACCCTCACATAAATGAATTGGGACCAAACGGGATAAATCTGGGAAATGGACTTCCAAGGAGCACGCCCGCTACCTCTTGAGACCACCTGAATCCCATATTAACCTGAGAATCCCTACCGTGCGCATATCTTATTATGATCAATAACAAGCAATAAAACACATAGAAACTCTACTATTATCAATAACATGCAATAAAACACATAAACTCTACCTTATTTGGTCACATGTAACAGTGACCCAAAATAAAAATGCATTTGGGATATACCTTATTTGGTCCGCTCATCTCGTTGCACTCATTTTCCTGCCCGCACTCCAGCTAATTTTAACCCTACAGCTAAAGGAGGGCCTCTTAGAAACAAGGGAGTCCATGTCCTTAAGCAACACTGCTCTATCTTAAATAGATCTTCTCTCCTAGTTGACTGCAAAACTACACGCAACAGCAGCAACTTTTCCCAACTAGCACCCCTCAACCTTGGGATCCCACTACTGCTGTCCTGTGACTTCTTTACTTTATTTATGTCCATCATTTTTTAAGACACTTTATGCAACTTGTGACCCTATAGCTCATCCTTGAAACACTTCACAGCACTTTACCCTTTCGAAGGATTTCCCTAAATTCCCACCACCTTCAACCTTTCTTAAGGTTTGAGGATTAAAAAAAAAAAAGATAGTCAAACGCTTAGCAATTTTTTATTGAAATGTGAAACAATTGTAGCTTGGTAAAAAGATATATAAGAATAAACAAGGAATAAGAATAAACAACTTCACAAAAACTAAACTTACAGTTAACCAGTCACAAACCTAGATGTCCAATAACTGATGAGAGATGTCCCCAACATGAATCTTGACATGGAACCAAACCAAAATTGTGCCCCCGGATTTCAACAGAAGCAACAAAAGCCACTAAGAGTTGTACAACCAAGAAATAGATCACTAACGGAGAACTCCAGGAGTCAAGCCTGCTTAAGCATACAATATAGACATGCAAAAGGGATAGAGTAACCATAGATGCTAGGTAAAATAAAAAAATAAAGAATGAGATACAAGGGAAAATGAGCTCTTACTTCATCAACCCAATGAGCTTTGCCCACCAAGCATCGGCTATACTCCACTTAACATTCACCATAGCCCATAAAATAATAAATATTACTTGCACAAGAATAATAAGTAGTGAAAATAAGAAAACAGACCACAATAACAGAAGTCTCCCTCGAAAACGAAATCCTACAGAAAATTTATGACATGTTAGTATTATTAAGACAAAAAATAATTGAAAATTATAGTTCTTCATGACAAATATTTATCCAAAAAAAAATAATAAAAATAGTTCTTCATGACAAATAGGTGAAGCATTGTAAAGATAGCCACCATAACACTTTTTGTAAGATAATAATACAACAAGAAGCACACACAAACACAAACACACCAACACATCAATTTTTAAAAAATGCTGGACAGGACACATATATATAGTATTGTACAAAAGAGACAAATATATATATATAGTATTTACACCCACATCACTGTATTGCAATACAAGAATAAGACACAATAACACAAAAGTGCACATAGATCCACCATACAACGATGATGAGGAAGATAAGCTTAGCAGTGGTGAAGGGAAAGAAAATGAAAGATTCAGGAATTCCTCTAAATTTCTGCATTCACTTCCTAAAATAAAGGCAAATGTGTGGCTACATACCTTGAAAGTAAAATGATGCAAACATCATTTGCTTATTCAATAGCACCACCCCCATCCCTACGGGAGAGGAGTGTTTGAACCAAAGTCCAGTAAGAAAACATCACACAAGTATAAATTTTGTACGACATAATACAGGAAGTGCAGTGATGGTCAATTCTGGTCACAGAAAAAGTTGAAACTTGAAATAGACTACTGCTTACCTCTTTTTGGAGCAGTGAATCGAATGAGGAGAAAAGCTAACAAATCAACAAGAGAGATCAAACTCCAATTCATCAAAGCAGCTGCAAGAGGGGAGGAGGCAAAAACAATCATTAATTCAGTTACAAATCAAGTGTATGCATGAATCTCTGTATATATGAGGCACATTCAGATTAAAACTCAGGCCCCTAAAATAGTTGGTTAAAAATTGCCGTAATAATTTTTTTTTCTTGTGTGTGGGCTTTTTGTGGGTGGGGGGTGTTAGGGGATGAAACGGATGATACAAGAATTAGAATAGATTATGAATAAGATAATGAGTATTTATCAACATCCACCCCTTCTGCCAGACCTCTTAGTTGCATATCATTGGGATAGGGAAGATCAAGAATGGTTTTAAAGCTACAAATTATTCTTTTGGCTTATTTGTATGCAATTTAATGTTGCAACTCGAACTTGTTGAGGGAAACAGGCAGCTCCATGGCACTATGCATGTAGCTTGAGTAAATTCATGCAAGCAAGTTGCCACAAGACTCTCACCAACTAGAGCACCAATTCTGGCAGTCACAAGTATAAACAAGACTAATCTAACTGATTGAAAGGTTTCAGTGCCACATGACCTATCAGCACAAATAGTGAGAACATCAGATTGATGATTACCTAGGGCAACCGTCAGGGGTCTTGCATAAGCAACTCACCATACATCATGCACCAAGAATAACATTTGCTCATATAGTTTTCACAAGAATGCATAAGGCTAGAAGAAATTATTCATTTAATACCAACTTAACATCCCAATTAAATTGTAAAAGCTTAAACAATAAATGATCAAATTTGTTTACACATCCAGTATCGAGAAAAATAAATGGCTCTTTGTCATGTCTTTACAGTCAAGTGGTGAACTGGCAGTTTCCATTTTCAGGGCTAGTTAGATTTAGGGAGGGTAAAATATACACAGCCTTGCCTCTTTTAACGTTGACCCAATTCTACAAACTGAAACAAAACTCATACAAGGAAACTTCATCTATTTAATTAAGATTACATATTGTTAACTTTTTTCTTAAATAATGCTAGTCACATTTTTCCTAAACTGCCTCAACTGAGTAATGTGTGTGATCTATCTTTGATGCCACTAACTCATTCCCTACAACGGAGCTCATCAATTAGTGGATCTATGGCAGGGAATGGAATGCATTAGTTTCCTATGGCCTGAAATCAGGTCTTCAGATGTGATTCTATGTTTCAGTAACAAGTTTTGTACATAAACCAGAAGGACTAACTGTCCACATCGCGTAACCTATTCCCAATTTAACTTCTAACAGAAACTTAACAGCTTCCTTGTGAATACACAGAATACATTAAAGTTCAGCAAAGTGATCAACAACATTATACAAAAACATTTAAATTACACTCTCCTCAAGTTCCCTTCATTTCAGCTTCAATATACACAAGGTTCGTATTGTCTAAATGTCACACATATTACACAAGCATCATTAGTCCACCACTTAATCCAATAACAAATGCTTTTGTTTCATTAAATTGGGATAATAAGAAATACAAAAGCAAACAAATAGGACTATATATTCATTCCAAATGCTACATAATAAAACACTGAAAAGATTGAATTTCTATAAAAGCCTTACAGAAACACATGGCTTCACAGCATACCTGCCAAAAGCAGCAAAGGCAACACAAACCCACCAAGAAAACTCCCCATAATCAGCTCTTTCTTGTCACAAGATTACTGCAATTCCATTTCATTTAAATTACACTCTCTCAAGTTCCCTTCATTTCAGCTTCAATATACACAAGGTTCGTATTGTCTAAATGTCACACATATTACACAAGCATCATTAGTCCACCACTTAATCCAATAGCAAATGCTTTTGTTTCATTAAATTGGGATAATAAGAAATACAAAAGCAAACAGATGGGACTATATATTCATTCCAAATGCTACATAATAAAACACTGAAAAGATTGAATTTCTATAAAAGCCTTACAGAAACACATGGCTTCACAGCATACCTGCCAAAAGCAGCAAAGGCAACACAAACCCACCAAGAAAACTCCCCATAATCAGCTCTTTCTTGTCACAAGATTACTGCAATTCCATTTACGAATCCGTTAATGGGTTTTCAATTTTTCCAATAAAATTTGAAAACCCATATGGCGGAAACCAATAAAAATCGTCTACAACAATTATCTATGTGATAAAAGATTTACAAAATAAAGAAAAACCCAACCCAGCTCTTTCTTCACAATTAATTTATGTTGTACGAAACTAAGCAAAATGCAGGGGGGTTCTAAATTCATAGAATTATTGCGTAACTATGTTTTGTGAGTGGTGGATTAATAAGATCTGGGATCAAAATTGATGTCGAGAATTTAGGGTGAATCATGGTGAAATTTTCGGAATGTGAACTCAGAATGCAATTTTCGTAAAGTATAAAGTGTGGTCTGCAAACTTTGCGCCGAACGATATTACTTATTTCTGTCCTTCCCATTTTGCCCTACGGATGGAGGTTGCTTTGCCAAACAAGGTTAAGTAATTTCGTTTTCATCGGATGGTATTCTTGTCATGCTAAAAACTACTCCGCTTTATTATTATTTTCCAATACTACGACGTCGGTAGATCTTATTTATGACCCCGTGTCGTATGCAAGTCCCATGGACACGTGTTTTCTTACCCCTTTGTTTGGTTAAGGGTGAGTTTGGCACCAAAGTAACGCCTCAATATACATTTTAATCCAAAAAAAAAATTCATTATAAATTATTACATGATTTTTTTTTTTTTTTTAAACATTTTAGGCAAATTGACTGGTAAATCCCATTTTTAGAATTTCTTATCTAATTGGTCCCAAAAGATTTTTGTGTAACCGTCTAGTCCTTATGAATGTGTTTTGATGGATTTAAGCGGTTATGATTGGCGGCATGGGGTTTGGGATTATGTTTAATGTTTTGTTTAGGCATTAATGGTAATGTGAATTCGGATCTGATTTGACCCAAATCTAACGTGGTAGTGGCCCATCTAAGTTGAAACGTCATACCCATATTTGGTAAGTTTCCTTTGCTGTTGTTTGGGTTTCGAAGTGTCATTTGTGAACCAATTTTGAATTTTGAATTTTGTGATCGAATCCACTATTTTAGGTTTGGGACTAGTGTATGGGTGATTGGGGTAAGAGTGTTTATTTTCGTCTCGTTAAGCATGTGTATTGCTGGGATTGTTGTGGAACCCGAGCTATCAGAGTGGTATGGTGGCTGATAATGGATTCGAGCTTCCGTGAACAGAAGACGTCGTCGTCAAATACAATAATAACCATGATGAGTAAAAGTAAGTATTTCTTATTGTTGTCCATTATTGTAGAATATCATGTTATTGGTGTGTGGTTTCGCTTTGGTTGAGGCTGTGAAGCAATGTCCATCATTTATTGTTAACGGGGGTGTGCATATCTGTAGCAATGACATGTCTAATACAAGTATTGTTGTGTTGAATGGGTACGAGGTGTTTAGTTGTATATTTTTGGTGGTCTGCTGTGTAATTTTGGCTGGGTATGTAGTCGTTTGGCTCGTGTGTCCTGTCTGTTAATTTGGATCCCCACAATGTGGTGTCATTGTATGATGTAGTTAGTAGTACAAATAAGCAGGTTCGAGGATGGAAATTGTGATATGGTGGGGGTGAGGTTTGTCTATTTGTTTATCGAGCTTTGCAAGTTAGTGGGGTTCTGTGTGGGGTTTGTGTGTGTTTTTTGATGTGGGGGTTATAGTGTCACAAGTGGGTGAGTGGAAACTATTTGGGGTTTTGTGAAAGGAATTGTGTCGTTATGTTGTCTTTTTTTTCTCGATGTGTGGGTTCACATTGCCACCCGTGGTTTGTTTGTGTTTTGGTTTTCGCATTATGCGGGTGGTTGATGGGGATGGGGTGGGTTTGGGTTACCGGTGTGGGCTTAGTGTGGGATGAAGTTATATATGTGGGTTGTGTGGTATGTGTGTTATATTTGTGTTCTATATGTGAAGGTGGTTAGAGACGTGTAGTGTGTTATGGTTGTCCAGCCACATTAGTTCAGTATGTTTTCCACAAAGGCTAATCGATGATGCGTTATTTGTTGCAGGGAATGGGGTGACACACAGTCCACAAACGCGGTCTTCTGAACGAAAACGACAAGACAGAGTGGGAGGTACGCCCAAAAAGAAAATTTGAGTGAACATGCAGGGTCGGGTCTTATTCAAGCAACAAAAAAGTGTACAAACTGGTAACGAGGGATTGAAAAAAGGAAGGATGAGGTTGAATTTTCGATCAAACATTGCCAGGATTATGAAGTTGGTTTCTGCAATTAACTTGATAGAGGATCATTTTGTATATTTGAGGAAGACGCCATTTTGGCTGTTTTTTTAATCTATAGTAACAAATGAGCTGGATCATTCGGAGTACCGTAAAGGGGACGACATGGTGGTGAACATCATATGGGCGTATAGTGTGCGAGATGGCGCGTTCCGCATTGGTGACGAAGACATACGGTTGATATTTAGAATTCAATGTGTTCCAAGCAACCTTCTGACTTCATACAGTGAAGGGGTCGAAACACAAGTTGAATCACTCTGAAGATTATTAGGAATATGCTGGTGGAAGCGATAGGAGGGGATAACAAAATTGACAAAGAGGACATATCCAAATTGTTATGTTTGTATGCATGTGGGAAATTGTTTTTTTCAACGACTGGCGAAAACAATCAGTTGGTGCTTTATACGTTACATAGATAATTTGGCTGCAATGAAGAAATATGATTGGACAGGTGCAATCCGTCATGCCTTGATGAACTCTGTACGTAACTTCCATGGAACGCCGGAAAAGGTGACGGGATGTGTTGTCTCTTTGCTGGTATGGTTGTTAGCATTCTTGTCTTGTCTTTCGTTTTGTTTTTATGTTTGTATATTATGTTTTAGTGATGAGTTAAACTTGGTGGCCTAACTTTTTGGTTACAGTATTGGTTATGTGAACATTCAAATATAGTGGAGCCTGGTTTGGATGACAAGTTCCCGAGGTTTCTGAAGTGGAACGTGGGTATGCTGTCGTCGAAAGCTCGTGGAGTGAATCTGAAGGGCCAAATCAACTTCGAGGTATGTGTGATGTAGTCAATAAAGTGATAGTTACAGGTGGGTATATGTGGTGCATGGTTGGTTTATGTTTCATATTGGCTTATTTCTGAACAAAGTGTTAATGTGCAGGTGAGGTGCGAGCGGTTAGTGGCAGGCGCCAATGAGATTTTATGCTTAGAGTGTGGGCCGCCGAGGGAAGGGGAGGTGAAGATGGTGGTTTGGACGAGGAGGCAATGGTTTTGGGTGGGAGTGGCCCGTTACAGACTGACGTGGGTTGTGTGAGTGGTGAAAAAGTTGTTGTGAGTTTGGGGGTAAAACTGGGTGGAAGTGTAGATTCTGGAGTGCGTGGAAAGCACAGTGGTAGCAAACATGTGAGGTCTTCTGGTGATGTGTCGTCTGGTGTTTGTCACGTCACCGAGAAGGGTGGTGGCAACCGCAAGGGCAGAGAAATGGACCTGGACGAAGCATTGAACACAATTGCAACTTGTAGACACTCCATTTTTGACCATCCTTAAGACTTGGACGTCACCGTTCGAACGCTCGGTGATCATCCATGTTCGTGTTCGTTTTGAGTTCCCGGAGGCCTCGGCCACGCACCTTGCCTCAGAATCTCTTAACTTGCCTGTTCTATGCTTGGTTTTGCACCAGGGACTTGTGTTTTGTGCTTCTGAGGGTGGGAAGAGGCTTGTTAGCCACCCCTGAAACCCACCGGCCATGGCATGAAGCCACCGGCCTTTCCTTTTTCCTACCGACCAAATGTTTGGTCGGTCGGCACTTATCTGAGGTATATCGGCATTTTGTGTGGTCGGCCGACCATGCATTTGGCCGGTGGTCTCCTTTTCTGGCCGGTACCACCTTTTTGTCTTTTTCAGGCATTATGTATGCCAGCTGGAGTGCACGGACCTGTCCTCCATACACGTGTATGGAGAAATTTGCACCATTTGCACCCTTTTGGTCTGGCTTCTTTGGGAAGCTTGGACCTTTGTCTTAGCTTCCTCAAGAAGCTTGGACACCTGTCTCAGCTTCCTAAGGAAGCCTTGACCCCTTTACCTTAGCTTCTTTAGAAAGCCTTGACCCCTTTTGATAGCTTCTCTTGGAAGCTTCTCTGGGAAGCTTAGGCCTTTTGCCTTGTCTATATAAGGAGGCCTCCCTCCTCCTTTGAGGAGGTTGAGCAAAACCAGAGATAATACATATATATTTGATATCTCTCTCTCTCTTTCTCTTCATTTGTGTGTGTTTGAGGGCCAAAAAGTGCATTTTGTTCTTAGTTTTGCACTAAGACACATAGCATTACACCATACTTCGACTTTGGAGGTGTTGAGGGTTTGTTGTTGAAGTTTTGAACTGGTTTTGATTAGAAGAAGGGGACTGGACTTGCTGTTCTTGAAGTGTTCTTCAAGGGTAACACTATTGCTTTATATTCCCCAATCTTGCATTAGCTTTTACCCCTCTTTACATGCTGTTTTAAACTTTGTGTATAACTGAAAAAATTCTTGTATTTGCATTCTTAAGATGTTTCATTAAGGTCATTTTGGTGTTGGGGGTCGACCTCCCCCTCTTAGGCCTTGTTTGGCCCTTTTGTGCCTTCTTTGGTTGAGCTTTGAATACCTTCGTGTGTTAGTCTTCTCACCACTAAAATCCAGAGGATTTTCAGTGGTCAAGAAGAGGTTTTGAGGTCTTACATAGGGGAGGGACACCCCTCTCCCTTTGTGTCTCTTTTTTCCACGTTTTTGGCTCATAATGGTAGCATGCGTGAGTAGTTGTCTTTGGCTCCATTTCAGAGGTTTTTGGGTGTTGTTAGGTCATAATATGCCTCTATTTTTGGTCAGATTGATGGCCCATTTAATGCATTATACACTTGCCTTGTATTCCCCCATTTTGCCTAAAAGTGCATCTTGCCATTAGGCCATCATGCTTGCATGTTTTTGCCTAGCTTTGTGAAACTTTTGGTCATGTTTCATCATGCTTGAGGTCTGTTGGGTGTTGATTTGGTCATGCCTTTCATGCTTTGTATAGTCTCTTTGTATTCTAGCATGTTGGCATCGGGTGTATGAGTCATTAGCATGCATTATCTTAGCTATTTCAGTGATTTGGAATCACTTATTAGGTCATTTCAGTCCATGTTTTATGCTTACATGTTTGCATTTTGTTATCCTTTCAATGCTTTGAAGAGATGTGATCCTATGCTCCATATATAAGCCATTGTGCATGCTTATGTGTTTAAGTCTTTAGGGTTGCCATATCAATGGGTTTTGGTGCATATTTTGATGCATAGAGACTCTGTTTTTGGTTGCTTAGTCCATGCCATGAATGGTCATGATAGTTGCAGTAGAATGTTCCTTTTTATGCCTTAGTCTTAGGCCCATTGGTATGCTTGTTTGCATGAGCATTTGTCCACCATTTCCACCACT